GTGTTTACGGCCCCGTTCCTTACCCTCCCGAGTCATCGAGTTCGCCTTTCCAACGACTTCCCAACCCGCCGCCAAAGTCCTCTACCGGCCCTCCTTTGGCCCCAATAGCTCCCAAGCCACCGCAACATCTAGACTTCCAAGGCCAGCCGATGCTTCACTATGGCCAAGGTTTCCCAGGTCAGCAACACCCGGGTCAACATCAGGGTCAGCCCCCGCCGGCGACGTTCGACTTCAACCAGTTTCCGTATGGAGAGCAGCACATGCACTCGAGCTCTTCTCTTGTTTCGCCAACCAGTCAGTTTCAGGGGCAATTTGGTGGACAGCGGAGCAACCTGGTTAGCCCCAATACGGACAGCGGCGCATTCGTCCACAACCCGGCAGCTCCATGGGAAGAACACGCAACAGCGGGCCAAGCGCGAGTGGAGGAGATGGGTGTGTTCTCTGGTAACCACGCGGCTGCTCCAAGGAATCAACCCGTAGAGGACACAGAGATACAGTACCTGTACTCAGACGACGATGCATCCATGCCCGACTCAGACGACGCTTTCGAAGATGCGATGGGCGAGGAGAGCGCCTACGGCCAGCTGGTGCAGAGCCGCAATGATGGCCCCTGGGAAGGCTTTGGAACCAAGATGAGATCCTTCTCCGCCTTCGCCGATGAAACCATCCTCACGTCGTACATACCCACACCAAACAATTCGCCACTGAACGATGAGCGGACAGCCGCTTTGTTCTGGCACTTCATCAACGTTACCGGCCCAAGCATGTCTCTGTACGAGAGGCATCCTTTCGACCACTCGAAACTGACGAACAACCACTCGGTGCCCAAGGCCGGGCATAATATCTGGACATGTAAGGCTGCTCTTCGTGCTGGAGGTTTGTGCCTCGACTGACTTTGGCAGACACTTTCCCCATCATATCCTTCACACACCCGGCACTTCTCCAGGCCATGCTGGCTCTGGGAGCGTTGCAAATAGCCAAACTGCAGAAGATCCCAGCAACGGCCGCCATGAAGCATTACCATCTCGCCATCCGCAGAATCGCAAAAAACCTACGGAGTCCGAAGAGGAGAACGCAGCCCGCCACACTGGCCGCCTCCCTCTTGCTTGGATACTTTGAAGTCTGGAACTCGGACCACACCAAGTGGTGCAACCATCTTTTCGGATCTAGACTCCTGATCAGGGAGATCCCCTTTAGGGAGATGACCAAGAACATCCTGCCGCTGAAGAGGGCCAGGAGGGCACTGTTCCAGGAGAGCCAAAACCAGCCGATGGACCCCTTTTTCACGGGCCATGACAACACGCACATGATGAGCCACGATTTGGACGACCTCAACCTCGGCCTTCTTAGCAGGCTCACGAACCAGCACGTTTCGTACGAGGACGATGTGCCGACAACGGGGAACTACTACACGGACCGGGACATTGAGCACTACGAACACCTCCGAGACTTGTTTTGGTGGTACTGCAAGATGGATGTCTATCAGAGCGTGCTGGGCGGAGGAAAACCATTGTAAGTGCCATCATCGAACAAGCGAGAACAAAGGGGCTTACGGAACATAGTATGGACTACCAGCACTGGACCCAGTGTCCGCCACGAGCGCCGATGGGCCGTCTCGAGGCCATGTAAGTCAAACGACGCCTTGCAGGGGATTGAGCTCGCTGACACGGATAGATACGGGACGTATGATCACCTGATGCTGCTGCTCGGACGTCTGTGCAGCTTCGCATCAAAGGACCTCCCGAGGAAACGCAAATCGTTCAAGGGCTTTGGGCCTCCTCCCGGCGGGCGGCCAGGAGGACCACCAGGCGGTCCTCCGGGAGGGCCACCTGCAGGGGGTCAGGGATGGCCCCCACCGGGGATGGCAGGCGGTATGCCAGGAGGCGGGCCGCCTCCCGGAATGCCGCCCGTGGGAATGATGGGAGGACCACCCGCAGGAGGTCGCGGGGGAACGGGAGGCGGACCGCCGGCTGGAGCGATGCCCGGAGGCCCCGGAGGCTCGCCGCCAATGTTCCCTGGTATGCTCCCGAACCTTGGAAAGGTAACGTTGCCAATGGGCTTCTCGCCGCCGCGAGACGAATCGCCGCCGCCGTCGGAAGAGGCAGCGGAAGACCTCGACTCGGACGAGGCGGCGGACGCCGCGATGCGCGAGTGGGAGTCCCTCCGCGAGGCGTTCGAGATCCTCCGGTCCCAGTTCGGCCCGGAGTTCCAGCCCCTGGGCCCCGAGTACGCCGACCGCAGGGACTCGCCGTTCGGCCCTACGCTGCAGTACCGCACCTTTTCCGTGGCCGGCATCTGGATGAACTACTACATGGGCCTGATCCACTTGTACCGCGCGCACCCCAAAATGCCGCCCGCCGCCATGATCGCCGCCGGCATCCAGGCGCAGCACACGGTCAAGTTCGCCATGGAGATTGGGCGGATCGCGGCCGGGCTGACGGACGACTGTGCCAACGTCGTCGAGATCAGCACCCTCGTCGGCGCGGCGCTGATTGAGAGCTCCTTCTGTCTTTTTGTCGGCGCAATCCAGGTAAGACTTGGGTCCTCTCCCCTTCCGCCCCCCCCCGGTTTCCAGACCGGTAGCTCCCACCTGGTCTACGTGCTGGAACCTCACTGACACGTCACGCAGTACCAAGACAATGCCCAGCGGCACTGGATCGTCAGGCGGATGCACGACATCTCCCGACTCACGGGCTGGCAGTCGGCGAGGCAGATCGCCGAGGGCTGCGAGTCCGGGTGGAAGAAGGCGGCCGCCATGGGGCGGGGCCCGCCGTACGTGCGCGACCCGAGCCTGCAGACCGTCATGCCGCTGTCCGTGTGGACGAACCCGCGGAGGATCGGCGCCAGGCTCGAGCAGCTCGACAGCGACGACAAGATGCTCGTCGTGGCCAAGTCCGAGAGGGCCTTTTACGCTCTCGGCCTGCTCAGCGTCGAGCAGGAGCTCGAGAGGCTGGTCATCAAGGAAGAGGGGTGAAGATCGCCCCCCTCACCCAAGTGAAGAGTTCGCGTTTGTGTGTAGATCGCGGGATCCAGACGCCGTGGCTGGGGTGTCTCGACCAAAGATGGATCAAAAGACAGCGGGCCCCAAGTTAGAAAGGGCTACGCCGGGGGTGAGAGTATGCTCATTATAGAAGCCATCATCACGTTGAGTACATTAATGATACACACTGTGGAAATCGTCTAGACGTCAGGTTCCAAATTTCGTAAACATGGGCAGGGTTTTTGCCTGAGCAGAAAAGTTCTGATGTGTCTTCGCTTGCTCTCCTTTTGGCGCTTCTTTCGAATCCCCCGCCCCTGTATGTTCGTATGACCGAACCCAAGACCAGGAACCCGCCCTCAACCCTGTTCTTCAACCTGCGTGCACCTCTAGTTCGCAGGGAGTCTCTCCACCACGGCGGCCATCTCTTCGTCCGTGTATATTCTGAAGCCCTTCTCCTTCGTTACGCTCGCAAGCTGGACGTTTTTCGAGTCGAGCTTCTCCTCCATCACCTGCTTCAGCGTCTTGAGCACCAGCGTCTCGGCGTCCGTGATCGACAGTGACTGCGGATAGGTCAGCCTCCTGATTTCTAGGCGGTTCTTGTACTTGAGAAAGAGATATCTAGCGGGGATGGACAAACCTTGTGATACTCGTTCTGCAGCTCAGCCTGCGCGCCTTCCGAACCGGAGCCAATGGCCTTAGCGTCGTAGCGGTAGAAGGTGCCACTGGGCTCGGCGTGGAAGAGCTGAGGACCATCCTCGTCGTAACCAGCGATCAGCAGGGCGACGCCGAAAGGCCGGGACATGATGGTCTCCTCGCCCTCGGCGCCCTCGCCGAAGCGCAGAGCGAGGTCGCAGATGGCCTGGGTGCACGACTCGACACGGAGGGGCTCGTTGTAGTTGAAGGAGTGGGACTGGGACTCGACGCGGGCATGCTCGACCATGGAGCGGGCGTCGGCCTGGAGGCCGGACATGGCGCAGCCGATGTGGCGGTCGATCTCGACAATCTTCTCGACGGACGAGGTCTCGAGCAGGGTCGAGGTGACGCGCTTCTCAACGCCGAGGACGACGCCCTCCGAGGTGGCGACGCCGATGGCCGTGGAGCCGAGCTTAATGGCCTCGAGGGAATATTCGACTTGGAAGAGGCGACCTTCCGGGGAGAAGGTGTTGATTCCTCGGTCTGGGTGATCACTGTCAGAGGAAGGGAAGGGCAGGGAAGCTGGAGGGGAGTCTTACCGTATTCCGATCTTGCCATAAACATCTTGGCGGTATTGTGTGTGTGCAGCTACTAAAGAATTGAAGAGAAGTCGGCTAGACCCGATTGGCAAGGTCAATTCTTTTGGCAGGTCGTCGAGTGAGGTTGTCGTGGTTCGGGAATGCGGGATGCTGGGGCTGTGGTGGTGGTGGTGGTGGATGGATGGATGGAGGGGAGCTTAGAGGTCCAGGTAACAAACGGTGACGGTAGAAGGCTGAGAAAACAGGTGGTGGTGGTTAGGCAAGCACTCAGCCTACGCAGCCGCAAGCTTCCTTTGGCAGGGCCAGTTACAGCAGCCAGCAACCAACCGAGCCCGGGCCAGGTACCTTGTCTGTACCTTTTGGCGGTAGCTTTGAGCCACACACTCCCCCCATGTTCTCCTACCTCGAGCTCTGTGATTGGCTCCTTGCGTCACTCCTCCTCCAGCAGCTGCCGGCCCTGAACGCTAAAACCCGGAATATTTCAGGGGACTAGCACATCCCGAGCCGGGGTTAACAGGACGCGAGGATTTTCCGACTAGACGCGGTCGATGTTAATGGGCTTAACCGCGTAGAGGTGGTAGCAGCAACCCAATCCACGCGCCGAGAGCTACCTAGACTGCGACGCCGTGATAGAGGGGCAGAGACAAAGAGCAGCAAAACAATCCGGCCACCCACAATCCCTTCCCCGACCGGAGGAAAACAACCTGTGGACCCCGCGAACGAGAAACTACCTTCTAGGAAAACGAACCCCCCTAAGCGCCTTACACAATTCAAATGCAGTCGGCGACATGTCGTCAGGCACCAGGGTATCAACCCACGAGCGCCGCGCGAACGGCAGCACAGCATCCGCCGCCGACCAGGAACGAGCCTCGAGGGCAGCGCGCATGAATGCCGCCGCCGCCGCCGCGGGGAGCGGTACGGGAAGCGCCCAGACGAGCTTCAAAAGCGAGCGCAGTGAGAGGAGCGATGCACGCCAACGAGAGCGCGAGCGGGACCGGGATCGGGATCGGGATCGGGATAGGGAACGAGAATACCAGCAACGCGAGAGGGCGGCGTCACCGAGTAGCAATACGCACAAGCGGTCGGCGTCAGGGAACCCCCGGACGACGAGCCGAGCGCATGATGACAGACGCGTGGAGGAGAGGAGGACAGAGAGGACGTACGTGACGCAGCTCGAGACTGTGGTCCAGCGGGCGAGGAGTCCGGAAAGGGGGGACCGGAGAGGCGGGGGCGATAAGGGGAAGGCTGCTGAGGCCAAGTCGCGAACGGCCGAGGCGAAGCCCAAGGAGGCCAAGGTTGACAGTCCACCAGGTGAGATCTCCTAGGTATGCCAGTTAAAGTGGAATTGGCAACTGACAGAATGGGATGGCAGCACCATGGAACCCGGAAGCAACGCTTCTTCCTCACACATCAGCCCCCTTGGCTTGTCGAATATCAATACCGCCGCTCGCGTCACAGGCGCCACAGCCCCAGCAGCCGAAACCGCTGAACGAGCTGTCCCTTGAGGCGCAGGAGGCGGTGATGCTAGAGGATCTGCTGTTTGTCTTCATGGGCTACGAGGGCCAGTACATCCGCTTCGCCAAGACGTACAACCCCCACGAGGAAAGGGACCGGCTGTCAGGGCCAACATTCAGGATATTGCCGGGCCTGGACCCAAGTCTGCAGGACCTGACAGTGTCGATGCTGAAGATGGCAACTTATTACTCGGCCCTCGAGATGTTTGTCGACGTGCAGAGCAGGGAGGAGTTTGGCGCCGTCAACCATGCGCTATGCGCCTCCATCAGGAAGTTCCTTCACGACTACCTCGTCATGGTTGCGCAGCTGGAAACGCAGTTTCTGACAAACGAGACTTTTACCCTCCACGTCCTTAACATTCACACATTACCCACGAGTCAGATGATGTCGCATCTGTATTCCCTAGCCCACGACTTGCTCAAGAGGAATGCGCTGCTAGACGACGACGATGAAGAAGAAAGCGACAGCGCGGACGATTTCGAGAACATTCTCGAGTCGTTGCGCGAGGGCGGCGACTTGGTACCTGGCTCGGGAAAGAAGATCTGCAAAGGAGGCGTGGTACTGGGGCTGATCACGAAGAGGCTTGAGTCAATGTCGGGAGACCCAGCGGCGCGCGCGCTGCTGACCTCGCTGCTGCGCGATGCTAGTAAGCCGTACATGGTGATGCTCAACGAGTGGCTCCATCACGGCGGCATCAACGACCCCCACGCCGAGTTCTTGATCAAGGAACAAAAGAGTATCCGCAGGGAACGCCTAGAGCAGGATTATACCGACGAGTACTGGGAGCGACGATACACGATCCGGGAGCACGATATTCCTCCTCAGCTAGAGGGTGTCAAGGAGAAGGTCTTGTTGGCTGGCAAGTACCTCAATGTCGTCAGAGAGTGCGGCGGTGTGGACGTCAGCAAGGTCGTCCAGGACGTGCCCACGTCCTTTGATGACAGCCGTTTCCTGGAGAACGTCAACAGCGCCTACGCGCACGCCAACGAGTCGCTCATGCAGTTGCTCCTGACAACACACTCGTTGCCCATGAGGCTGCGGTCGATGAAGCACTACTTCTTCCTGGACCCGTCCGACTACTTTTCCTACTTCCTTGAGCTCGGCACTTCGGAGCTGCGGAAACCCGTCAAGTCCGTTAACACCGGCAAGCTGCAGTCGCTGCTCGACCTAGTCCTGCGGCAGCCGGGCAGCATCGTCTCCTTGGACCCCTTCAAGGAGGACGTCAAGGTGGAGATGAACGAAATCACGCTGATCAAGTCGTTGCAGCGGGTCGTCAACATTACGGGTATCGAGCAGGGCGAGACGCTGCAGCCGTTGGCCAACCAACCGATCGAGAACGATAAAAACGCCATCGGCTTTACCTCGCTGCAGCTCGACTACACGGTGCCTTTCCCCGTCTCCCTCGTCATCAGCCGCAAGACCGTTTGGCGGTACCAAGCGCTGTTCCGCTACCTCCTTTCGCTGCGCTATCTCGAGTCCCAGCTGTCGACGACGTGGTACTCGCAGACCTCCGGCCTGACGTGGGCGCACAAGAGCTCCTCGCGCAGCCTCGAGATTTGGAAGCGCCGCGTGTGGACGCTGCGCGCACGCATGCTCGTCTTTGTGCAGCAGCTGCTCTACTTCTGCACCGCCGAGGTCATCGAGCCCAACTGGGCAAAGTTCATGTCCAGGCTCAAGGTTGGCGAGGAGGGCCAGGAGGCGGCATCGGGCAGCGCCTCGTCGGGTCCGACGAGGACTGTGGACGAGCTGATGCAGGACCATGTGGACTTCTTGGACACGTGCTTGAAGGAGTGCATGCTCACCAACAGCAAGCTACTGAGAGTGAGTCTACCCTGCCGCCATATTTTCGCCTCATACTCCAGAGTCTCGACTAACACTGTTCCCAGATCCACTCCAAACTGATGCAAACCTGCACAATCTTCGCAACCTACTCCAACTGGCTCTCCCGCGAACTGGAAAAGGCGGACCCGGACCTGTCTGGCGCCACGCGACCCTCCAACATGACGGCCGAGCAGTGGCGCGCCTTCGAGGCTGTCAGGACCCAGAAGCCCACGACGGGCTCGCACGGCGACTCGACGTCGTCGGCAGGGCCGGGCGCGAGCGACCAGCAACAGCAGGACGCGCGCGTGGGGAACCTGTTTGAAATCATGAAGAAGTGGGAGGGCAACTTCAGCAGGCACCTGCAGATCCTGCTCGACGCGCTAAACCACTACGCCGCGACCGAGACGGTCGTCCTGCTCAGTCTCTGCGCCCGGCTCAGCACGGCGAACCAGGGGACAGAGTACGCCGGATTGCGGAACGAGGACGACAGCGTTGCATAAGGGTTAGCATCGGAGTCATGGTCTGTCTCTCGCATAATTCAAAAGAAGGTCTATGGCGTTTGAAGGTTTTGGTTCTGGGAAGATGGAGGGCGGGGCGGATGGCATTTCGCATTATCAAAAAGCCTAAGCGAGAAGCGTTTTGAAAGGGGGGGGATAAGACATGTGAGGGTGTTTCTCGACACGCTCTACCAGTCAGATACCATTGATTCAACCGTGCGTTATCGCGCGCCAAATGGAATGTTTCCAACCGCTTCCGGGCTGATTCATGTGCGTGCTGTAGTGCCTCAAGCCCTGAAATAGGGTAATGCCATTTCTTTCGATTTCGTCCCATGCGGGGGAGGATGCTGAAGGTTTCCTCGTGCAAAGGGCTCCCCTGCAGAGCTTCGCTTTTGGGTATACATATACAATACAGGTTGTAGTGGTACAGGTTTGTACAATGGCCGGCTCCCGCGGGGGCCTGGCGCCCCTCGCGCTTTATTCCTTCTTGAGGGCCTCCTTGACCAGGTCCGCAACACGCTTCTTGTCGACCTCGAGGTCCTTGCCCTGGATGGCGGCGTTGATGAGCTTCATGACCTCGCCCAGCCCGCTCTTGCCCGCGGCGGTGGCGTCGTCAATGGCCTTCTGGACGAGCACGCGAACGTCGGCCTCGGTGACGGTGACGACGCCGCTGGTGGCAATGTATTCGGCCATGACCTTGGCTTGGAGGTCCTCCTTATCGGCGAGGTCGTCGCGGCCAGCGGCGCGGAACTGAGCGGCGGCGTCCTGGGTGGCGCGCTGGGTCTTGCGCAGGAGGGCGACGAGCTGGGCGTCGGTGGCGATTGGGGAGTTCGTCTTGGCTGCGTTGTTGGTGGCGGAGAGGACGGAGCGGAGGACGGAGAGGCGGGGCGCGTCCTTTGCGCGCATGGCCGTCTTGAGGTCGGTCTTGAGGGTAGCCAGAAGTTGGGGCTGGGCCGGAGCGGCGTCGGAGGAGTAGACGCGGAACGCCCGAACGGCGGCGGCGGCGCGGCTGGGCGCAGTCGGCCGGAGCGTCTGGAGGAGACGGACTGAGCTTCGGGAGGCCATTGCGGTTGATGGAGGGGGGTTTTGTGGGATTGAAACTCTGTCAGTCGAACGTTATCGCTGCGTTTTCTTAATTGATCGTCCTTTGCCGTCGTTACTAGCGCTAGGTCTGTACAATTTCGTCGTCACGTCGTCGTCTGATGCATTTAATGGAGTCGGATGAAAAAGTCGACTGGGGAGCTGTCATTGCATGGAACTGTAGCGGAGCTTCTCATTGGCTGTCAGCACTTGAGCTGTTCCAGGCAAGCCCGTCCGCTGAATGAAGCCTGCATTGCCTTGGCTAGTGGCGCATGGTGGCACCGGTACCATGGGCGGACCTTCTCGGGCCCCAGGGGTCTTCTCACACAGGTGCTCAGGCTCAACCCGAAGGTCTTGTATCTGGGAACCACACTCACTTTGACAGACGACTGGCAGCAGTTCCTCTCGGTTTCGTTCCTTGGCCGATGGCTTGAGATGCGAGGTAGACAGTCATACGCAGTGCTGGTGGCTCGAATGACACGCTCAGCCCCCTGGCTGGAGAATATTGACTAGTGGAAGCTTGCCGGCAACCCTCAGCGACCCAACAGCATGCATTGTTGATCAATGCCATTATCGAGGCTTCTCACCGACCCCTTCGGAATCTTCAAATAGGATGCAACGTTCGTGCAATCTCTGAGGACGCTAAATCACCTGATGTGCCGGAGGTCAGGGAAGCTGCAGGAATGACAAGGGTCGGGGCATTCTTCGAGGTCTTCCGATATCACATCCGTTGGGGGCAGGCTCAAAGTACCACGACCACAACGAACGTATAGTCTCGGCCGGGCAGCCATTCTGGCTAGTCCCAGCCTAGCAACGCGGGTGGCTTTGAAAAAAGGCAAGCTCAAAGATCGGTGCATGCTTCTTCAACATGACAAATTCGGCCCAGTCTGTGACATCATGATATTCCAGGGCGTGTCTTGTCCGTCTGTCGTCTGGCCCTGGTCTCCGTCATTTTCTGCCAGGAAGCTATCCCCAAGCGGATTCGCGACCTCGCGTTGTTAGGCAGGATGGAAGTTCCCGAAGTCGGGGAACCTGGCTCGTGCCTGTACATGGGAAAGGTATGGGCCCTTCACCGGCGTGGAACTTATGAGGATGGCGGCGATTGCGGATGCCAGAAACATGGTATGGCCCGCCACAAACCGCTTCAATCTTCAGGTGAAAGTGGGTTCCCGTGGACGACACGACTCGACAGCCTGCCCCTGGGGGCATGGGTTTGATGTGCCCAAAATTGATGCTGTTGTGTGATTGTTCAAGCCTGATGTGACGTGAGTTGTTCGTCTGCGGTTTAGTCTTCACCGAGGACCCGAGGAGACGGTAGCGAGCTGGGAAACCATGCGGGCTTGTCATATAACTCGTTCCTAGCCAGTCATGGCGCGTTGAGTCCCTCCAATCTAAACCCAACATGGAACAGAAGGAGATAGACCAAGTACCCGATCCCTCCCTCTTCCCGAGGTGCGAGAGTCCCGACTATTTTTTTTTACCTTGGCAAGGGAGTCCACGGAAGGCCCCCCTATGTGTTATCGGCCATCTTCGTCCCTTCCCACCACCTCTACGCAAGAAGGCAGTTAGTTACACCTACCTTAGTTCCCGCTGGTCTCCACTTACGGCTCACTCTCTTTCAACTTCTTGTCATCCTATGTCCTTTCCAATGCTCTCCCATGCAGTCTTTGTTACCGTCACGAACCTCCCACTGACAACATCCATCCATCCCTGGCTTTTGCCTCGAAACCTCTTGACAGTGCGACTCTCAAGATCAACATCATTGCTTCCTTCGTCGGCACAGTCGTTGGCCGTTGAATCCCAATCACTCGTCGCACCCCGGCTGCCTTCTCTCTCCAGGGAGATCAAACACCCACCAACTAGTCAACCCCTTGGAACCAGTCGGACCAACCATTAGCCACGGCTGGATTCAGACGTTCATGGTCTGTTCCCTAGATCCTCGTGGGCCTTTGGGACCCAGCCACGGCTGCTGGATGTCGACAACTGAGACCTCCCGGTCTATCGTCGAAGCCCTCCTCTCGACTCACAGCTGCAACGGTCTGCCAGCGCCATATTAGGCCGAGGACACTCAACAGGCAAAGGAAACAGTCAACAAGATTGCGAGCTAGGCACGGGGTATCTACTACCGTCACATCATGGTCGTCGTAATTCTGGTCCAGAAAGTCCACCAAGTCTTCAAAACCGAACGCCCCGCAATGCTCGCTCAAATAAGCAACCAAACCATATGGTGTCTCGACACGCCTCACCGACGAGGTTTTCGTCCTATACAAACATACCTTGAGCGAAGAAATAGATTAGTCCATCCATACCTCCCAGCAGCGATATCGGCCCACTTACATTGGAAAATACGCCTGGTTCAGCTCGGCAGCATTGGCCTTTGTGTTAGCCGTACCCGCACGATGTCTAGTGCGTCTGGGTCCGCCAGCTGGACTCACCCTGAATGTCGGGTTATCGGCCTCACTCCTTGCTTGGGCCACCAGGACCTGGAACTCCTGCGAAGTCATCCTGCCGTCATGCGGTCAGCTCCGAGCGCGCCCGTATGGTGAACTCTTGTCAAATCGCTCAGGGGAGCATATTGCGAAATGAACTTACCCTCGGAATTCCGTCATGGGATACATAGCCAGAGAGGAGAGCATTCTCCTGACATTCTCTCTGTTGACCACTCCGATATGGTGCTGCCTTGGGTCTAAATCACCATTGAGCTTCAACGGCCTGCACGTCTGCTTCTGCGGGTCCCTCACCGTTGGACCAGCCACATGTTGGGAGAGGTATCATCTGGGTTTCCACCGAGTCGAATCCCGCACTCTGCATCCAACTTTGCATTTGGAGCGGCGCTCGAGGATCTTTGTATGGTTGCATACTGTCCAGGTACCGCCTAGACCACCTTCGCAAGGCGTGATCTGACAAAGGAAACAATTAACAAGCGCAGCATCTCCAGGGAAGAACCACCTTACTTTGAGTCAATGTCCCGTTGTCCGACTGTGCGTTGAAGTATATTTCCACCATCTGGCACCAACCACCCGGTCGAAGTACCCGAAACATATCTCGAATGTAGTCTCTCCATCGATTCGAATGGATACCGCCTGCCATCATTTGGCTATGCACGAGATCGAAGTGATTGGAGGGAAAAGTAAACCTGGGTCGGCTCAGTTAGGCACAGTTTGGTTGGATATGCAGAAGACTGATCGTCGACATTTGCCTACCTTGCGTTCAAATCATCAACCTGAAGGTTCAAGTTCGTAGGTGTTTGTGCCTCGTCCGGCCAGATGTGCGGGCAAATGTCGATGGCTACCACCTGTGACCCAACCATTAGCATTGTCTGCGCGACCTGACGTTGATATGCAAAAAAGCATTGCTATTCATCCATTGAGGAGCATCGTCTCGGTGACTGCAACGTGAAGCAGAAGATAAACCGCCACGGGTAGATCATGGTCAAACCCCGACCAGCCATTGGAAAATTCGGTTAAAACGCAGCGGCCCACCGCCGTCCCGCGTCGGCTGACCTCTACATAGAGGTAATAGACATCGAGTTACGGAGAGAGACAAAAGGAGTAAAATTATTCGGGTAGACACAAAACATACCTCACAGCTTGGATGTTGTTGTGCGACTTCGGTAGCCCAGTCGCCGGCTCCAAACCCGCACTCGAGTATTCGTCGGGGTCTGGTGATGGGCGGGAAGAGGAGTTGGTTTTCGAACACTATTGAAAGCACGACATGCATCATTTGCAACCGTTCGATTTCGTCCTACAACCCAGTCGGAGATGTTAGGCAAAGCAGCAAAGCCTTTAGAGACATGGCATGTCCCTCACCTCATCTATCGGCGCAAAATAGGCACCGTTGTCGACTGCGTATCGCTGGTATTCTCTGCCTTGATACGTGATAGTCTCAAGGAAGGCGTTGTCCAAAGGGACTGTTTGTGGATCGCTGGGAATAGCTCAGACGTCAAGCGAATCCTTCGCGGTCTCAAGAATGGTCAACCGTACCTTGCCATATCGCAACGACAGCAACGGCGGTGGATTTCTTTCTCTTCGTACGGAGCAGTATCGGCAATATCGAGAATCTTCGCCAAACCCCTGGCTCCGGATTCGATCTTGAGACGAAGATGAGGTTTTATGTTGTGGCTACTTAGCTTCAACGAAGTGGTCGTTACCGGTTTCAGGAACAAGACGGAAGGTGAAGGAGTGTTTCTCAAGTACTGCACACGCAGGAAGCACCACTGACAGTCAAAGGAGCCATATCGGGTTCACAGGGGGCATTCGCAAAGGCGGCAGTCGTGTCTAATAGACACAAAATTAACTGCCCGCAGTGTTGGAGGTGGGGACACCGAGAAGGTCGAAGGGACTTCAGATTGGCCGGCCAGTCTTTTCTACACCCCACGATGTCGCTGTCGATCTTGGGTTAGTACGCTACGGCCCAGAGGAATTTGGGAGCCTGTTTTGGTACTCTTTGGTACGCGGTGCGGTGCGGACGAGGTAGTCTTTGGGTGACATGGATATGTCCTCTACAGTTGCTGCTGGCCCCGGACACCCCTCCCCTGTACTGTACGCACGAAAATTCGAGAATGGAGTCGGCACAACCCAGACGTGCTAATCCCAAGACAGGAAGTGGCATATGGCGGGTGTGGCAGCGGGTCCCAATCCATCCTGGCAAGCTGGACACCGCTTTTACCAGTTGCCCGATCCATGGATCCCGTTGATTGCAGCTGGTGTTTATAGGCTGTTCCGGAAGCCAGGTAAACGGGTTCTCGTTCTCATCGATCCGGTCGCTGCCTAGCGGACGCGCCATCACAGACCAACATCCCAAAAGGCTGGCAAAGACGCAGATACGGATCATAAAGTATCCTGTCGACTACTGTTATTGAGATTCGACTACTATTATTGGGGTTCTCGATCTTCGTGGCAGGCTCACCACTGCCGTTATGGAATCGTACCAATATACTGGTACTTTTTGCTACCAGTAAGGCACCCACACCTACGACGAAGCCAGTGGTGGACATCGTCTCTGAGACCAACCGCATGGTCGGAGTACAGGGTCTAACCTACTTTCTCTCACATAGAGACGTACTCCCACTGCAACCATCCCATGGCCAGGCAAAGGGAAGCTCTTCAGCAAACACGGCTCTCCATCCCTTGTTTGCTGCTTATCCCCCTCCATGTTGTGGGTGGGAACATTGCTTGAAGGAGGGGTTGCATGGGCGATCCGCACTTGTCGCACGCGGAGCTACAGTCGAAGTCCGACGATTCCCATGTCCCAAGGATCCGGTCGTTGGCTTGAGCTTGGGGCAGCCACAGGAGGTGGGAAGTCACACTGAGCTAATAGGATGTTGCGCAAATCTCGATAGGACCCCCCATGTGACAAGCGGCTTTCTTGCTGACATTCGCTATAGCCCACTGCCTGTATTTTCCGAGCTCTTCCGAGAACATGGACTTGGATTCTTTTCTGTGTGGTTGGTGTCCCTAGTGACTCGGCTGTGAAGCGAATGGACACAAGAAAAGGCCAGCCTATAAAGCGCGAAGCGATTACAACCTTGACGCTGTCTAGCTGCCTCGTACAACAGGCAGGCTGAATGCACATATGCTACTTGACTTGTCTGGCATTGAGTAGGCTGGGGCCATATATGCGGCCAACAACGACCGAAGGCGGAGTCAATGGTCTGATCCTCACACACAAATTGGTAATGACCTGCAGTCCTGCCAGCGCAGTGAGACCTGCGTCAGGCCCTATCTCACGACAGCAGCCAGAAGGAGAAAGATACCCCAAGGCGAAAACATCGATCCTTACTTTGCTGAGCAAGCATGCCTGCGTCCTGCAACTTGAGGCCTCCACCACACCACTCCAGAGACTCTGTTGGGTGTGACAATTGGGTCGGATAGCGGCACAATTTGCACCGAACAGGCAAGGTCTACAAAACATAGGTAGGGGCATGGCTCTGTCTGGTGGGTTTGGGTTGCTGCGTTTTGACACGTTGGCGCATTTGGGTGTGTGTTGATGAAGTTTTAATTACCTCAGTCCTTACGATTCCCTTTCTCGAGCTTCTTATCCGGTCTCACCCTGAACCAACTACTTGACAAACCGATTGTATCTTTTCCCCCAGTCAAGCTCCGAGCGGTTTGGCCAAGCAAAATTCCCAAGCGGAGACGGTTTGATGAGAGCTGGAAGAAGAAATTGGCGCTGGCCCATTTCTACAACGAACCCTCGACGGGCCGCTTTGCAGCTTTGAAACTAACACCAGAGGATGGGAGACCTGGCCGACTTGACCGGGTTGTTGCTGGCTCAGACGGTGGGGTTTCGGGAAAGGGCGCGATGACGCGAGCCACAAAACTCTCCTGGTTCCAGCTATTTGGGAACCGAGGAACGAGGGTCGACAACACTTCCTTGTCACGGAAACCACACCCTGGTGCTTGGGAGCGCCATGCCTGTCCATAGCGGCCACGTAGGTACTCGCTGCACTCTGCAACCTTTGCACCAACGGCTTCAGATGCATTGCATGGCGGACGGGTAGAAAAAGCAACGGGAGACACCATGAGACGACTGCACGTCGTTTTGTGCGGGCAACTAAACAACTCGCCCAGGATGTCATCACCCACCACCGTAACCATTCCTTGACGTCAGAACGAGAGACACGGAGAACTTGCTCGGCGTTTACACAACCTGTCCAAGCCAGCCACAGTCTCACCAAAAGCTGCAGGAGAGCATCCGCCTGGGTTCTTGCCATCACCGGTCGGGGGACACGGGTTGTCCAGCGGCTACCCCGAGGGTGACTAGGGGGTCTGGGAACAACTAGGACTTTAATTACCACAAGTCAGACAGCCCGGAAAGCAACTGTTCAAGCGTAACGGCGGTGCAATGTTGCGCAGCAGGCAACCAAGCAAAAAGATGCAGATGGCTTGCTGAGTGCAGTAGTCACGAGCCAAGCAGTCGAGGAACAGAGACTCAAAGCAGAGGCCATGATTCACACTTCGGCATCCACAACGAAGTATTCTTCCTATGCGTAAAGACCGAAGGAGTTACAAATTTAGAACACGTCTGCGAGGCGCCGGCGCAACGAAATCCTTCATGCCAGGGAGCGAGGCAATCGATTAGCCTGTTAGAGATGATGCACGTCAGAGGGGATCGTTCGGCCCATCTCTCCGTAACTTGATGCTGTGTGCAATCGATGCCAACATCTCAACCTGGACAAGCTCGAACAGGAGATCGTCTCCTCGCAATGACACACGCTCAGCTACGCAACTTGCGGTCGTTGACCGCATTCTCGTCTGCACGGGGGCGGACCGCGCATCTGCGTGTATTTCAAAGTCTTTTTACCCGATATGAAAGGAAACTAGGCCAGCTCCGCTCTCTCTCCCAACAGCTCTCCTGCTCCCCGTGCAAAGAGGGGGAAGAGATGAGTTGGCGGCCGATGAGGAGTCACTTTCAGTTCCGCCAGCAGGGAACCCTGGTCGACAAATACCCTGCTGGTTCTTCCCTCGTCACCTTCCTCTTGAACGGAACCGCGCTCTCGGGTTCCCCTAGGACGGGAGGCTGGGGCACAACCGTCTCCTTTATCGATGTCAGCCGTCCCCCCTACGACCCCTGTTCATGCTGATAGGAAACAGTTTGCCATGGCACTTTGATGTCAAAGATACTCAGCTGAGCCACCCTATTGTGGGATGACAAGCGGCGTTGCCCGCCGTCTACGATCCAATCATCCGACAACTCCATTTCCTTGGGAACCAGGTTAAATCGTTTCACCGGGGCACGCATGGAAAATGCTTCTAGAAGGCCCTGCTCTTGCGAAGGGCTTGCCATTTGAAAGGGCATGGAGCGCGTTGTCGGGCCCTTCGAGCCGACGAGGTCCCTACCCAGGCGGAATGGCGCGCCTGCACCGCTTTACTGCGGTCATGGGTACATGAATCGACTTTCCCTCATTGATCCTATCCATCATCTACCGACGATACGGTATTTGGACGTATTGCCGACGCCCAGCCCCCCACCCCCTCCCATGATTATTACCTTGCGCGCACAGATCGCGGACGGGACAGACAGCTTCACCCTCAGCTCGGGGACTCAGCACTCGTCCCCGTCCGACGCGCCACAACCATTTTCCTTCCGTGAGACGCGAGCGCCGAATCCCAGCTAGTGGCCGCTGGTCGACAAACTCGGGATGAAGATGAGCCTTTTCGACCCCGAATACAGAGTCGAGGGCCGGACGGTAACCGCAACAATCGATGTCCAACCGCGTTGTGCGACCTGAGCAGTCACTCCCCCTCCCCTCCAGCCCTTCCTTTCTAATGACATCCTCAGGAACGTAAGTCCTTTCATGTCTTCATCACCTTGGGAGATCTCTCATGTCTCTCGGGCTAGGTCTGGGCGGTTTGCACTTTGTGAGGAATTACGGATGCTGGATTGGTGTGCTACCCCTGAGCCGGATGGGCGCGGGTGACAAGGTCAAGTGGGAAATCCTTGCCTGATTCAAAAAGGGGACCTTTTTCTCAGGTTGGCCGAAAAGGGCTTTTTGCATGCGTCTCTTCCAACCTCCCGAGAAGAAAGTAGAAAAATAAAGGATGAAAAAACCAGACGACTGCGGTACGTCCTCACCCCCTCCCTTCCCATTGCTGAGCCCAGGCCCCCCCCTATTCTTTGCTTTTCTTCTGCCTTCGTTAGGACATTCCGCTTTTCCCTTCCCCTCCGCGCACGCCGGCGCGCGGGTCTGCACCTCACGGACCCGCAACGTTTCTTTTGTGTCTTCCTTCGTCATGTCTTCTGCATATCGTGTCGTGTCTCTTCCTCAGACTCTCCTCGTCTCTGCCTGCCACTAGGGCCTCCCTATCTCATTCTGCCAAGCCAGTGAATCGGTGACGCGGCATGCAACACATGGCCTGAGAAACGCCACCAACACCTATGCAATGATGCCATGTTCGTCCTGACGCGCAGCGGGCCAACTATTCTAGACAAGACTCGATGATGGACCAAACAAAACTCCCGCTTCCCAATTCATCCTTGGCAAAATGTCCACTGGCCGGAGGAAAATAAAGGAGGGGGAAGGGGAGGGAGAACACCACACACACACACCCTCTTTCTCCCTCTCCGCTTCCCTTGCATGCGCGGCGGGCGGAGTGAAAATCCTCCAACCGATAATCCAGCTTCCCAACTCTTATTGAGCTCTGTGACGCCCCGTATGTTTTGCTCGATGCAAGCCGAGTGGATCACCAGCAGGTGAAAACCGGGTTCCTGGCTTTCACCGGCTCTAGCCTCTCCACAATAACCTTGCGTTGGTTCCCCTCCATCCCCTCGGCGGCCGCATAGCCCAGGTCGCCCTCCTCGACGTCGTCCTCGTCGTATTCCAGGCTTGGGTGGGACCCGTAGAGGTGTTGGGCGATGCTGTTGCTGTTGCGCCGCCCGGCGGCCGTCGCGAACGAGTAGCGACGTTGTTGCTGAGTCTGTTGACGGGCAGGAGAGTACATGTTGAGAGCCCGCGGCCCGTGATAACTTTCTCTGTGACTTTGTCCCGAGAACCTGGGCCGCTGCACTGTTGGATCCTTAGCCAACGGTGCCGACGACGCCAGGATACCCGAGCCGTTCATTGACGTCTCGTCTGGTGATTGAGCGCCCTCTCCCGTCGGGCTCAACGCCAGCTCAAACCTACCCGGATGAGGCATGTCAGCCGGGGGGCTGGCGAAGCCAAGCAGGTCCTCGTCCAGGCGGAGTGGCGGTGTAGTAGACGCGTTCGCATCGCCTATGTCGCCCTCGTCAATGGACCGCCGCAACTCTGCTTCGTGACGCATCATCTCGGCGGATGTCACCCGCATGGGAACTGCGACCGGTACCTCAACCAGATCGTCCCAGACGCAGACCTTGGCACGACGTGTGAGTTCCAGGGGACCGTGGTCGGGCGTCTTGAGCGTCTCTACAACGTTCCACGCCTGTCCCTTCATAACGGCGATCTGCCGAGCAAACATCTTTTCCTGGAAGTCAGGGTCTAGTTGGAAGACTTTCCGCAACGCTAACTGTGTTTGGCTCCACCAATGCGTCGATGTCAAAAGAGGGAGGAAATGATCCCGCGTCTTCTGCGAGAACGGTCGCCCGATCAAGTCCACGGGCAAGAATAGCCAGCCGAATGGGAAGCTATATAGAAAGACGGTTAGCTCAATTGTTAAAACGCATCCGTGTTCTCGTCCGTCGAGCTGGAGGACGAGGGGATTTGTGGATTTATCATACCTTCGCCATGCATCTGGGTGTTTCCAGGGCCAGGAGAGTGAGTTGTCAATAGCGCCGATCGTGATCTTAGGATCCCTTGTGCTCGGTAAAGGGCTCGATGCCTTCATGGGCTGCTGAGTTTTGTAGGGGTAGGAGGAGCGGCTTTCTGCTGCTGGTCGCTGGTTCAGGTCTACGGGGCGCGGCCCGTCCTCTTCGGATGGGCCTGTCTCCATGTTCATCTGGAGCGGCTCTGAGGCGATCGATACTTGCTGGGTGCTCCAGTCCACCTTGATCATCCAGTTGTCTAGGCCGCGATCAGTGTTCCGCATAATGTAGTCTAGGATAACCAGCTTCTCCAGTTCTTCGCGGAACGACTGCTTCAGTGAATCGGTCCACACGAAGTTGTCTGGACCAGGAGGCAGGCTTTCTTGTCTGCTATCATCGTCGCTCTCGACATCATCCAGAGCTGCGGCGCTGCTAGGCCGACAGTTATCTGCCCATCTCCTCCTACGTTTGCGGTGCGGGTCGTTAGCTCTGAACCCGGACCAATACTGGTCCGGCCAAGGGTGTTCTCTCAGAAACACATTGGCGTCCTTGAAACCTTTGAGGAAGACCTGGAAACTCCCTGGCTTCTCGGGGAGCGGTTTTTGCTTTCTGTAGAAGTTGCGTCGATCCCAGAATGGATAATGAAAGGATTTAGAGGACAACCATACAACGTCCGTGTAGGGCACCATGTGAGTGCGAAGTTGGCAATCCAGCGTATATGCAGCCGCTTCACTGACATATGACAGGTTGGGAATAAGGCTATGGCACGGTCAGCAAGTGGGACACTACGGGGTACCAACGTTCGGGTAACTTACCATGCTCGTCCAAAGCAGCAAGGGAATAGGTTTCGATGAATCCACTTGTTCCACTTGGGGTTACCAGCGGCATATGGCTCTTCGTCCTTGGGCTTGAAAACGCCCACAACCTTTCCTTCTGTATTGCGAGCAAAGTAGCTGCCGGAGCTTCCCTGGGAGATCATACGTGGGTGTGTGCCTTGCAGGATGGCCTGCTTGACGCTGCGCAGAATATCTTCGAACTGGGATTTGGTCATAACGTCTTGTACCACAGCCAAGCCCTCAGGGGTGATGGGCCGCACACCCTCCGGTGCTTGGAACACTGAATGATGGATCTCGAGATGTTCGTCCTCGCCGGTCTTACCACGGCCCCTGGTTCGTTTGAACCGGCTAGCAATCTCGTCTGCCCATCGTTCCAGCCTGGCATTGATGGCCTTGATGTCCACACCGGAGTTGCTACCACCACGACGGCGGTTCCTAGGTCTAGAAGGGCCAATGTTTATAGGCTTCGGGGTCGTCATGCCCGAGCGGGGGCGCGGTTGGGAGATGGGCGCGAAGCGAGGGGCGGAGGCCGGCTGGAGAGAGGCGTATGACTGGGTAAGGGGATCATCATCTTCGGAGTCGGAGGAGAGGGCATCGGCCTGAGCGAGACGCTCGTAGCCAGTCGTTGGGGGCCGGGAGCGAGGCATCGTGACCGGACGGAGGGATAGAAGTCTCGAGGGTGAGAGAAGCGAGGCAATTATCGGGCGAAGGAAGGTCTAGAAGGCAGAGCCATGAGGTGAGAATGATCGTGGTTGCGGCAAGGTTCAAAATCGGGAAGCTGTGAAAGAAGATTTTCGTACTGTATCTCCGTTGTGATGCGATAGTCAACCGAAACCAGGGAATGCGGAAGCCTGGCCTGAGGATGTAAGGAGCCACGAAGTTTGTAGAAAGAACGGAGATACAAGGGAGGGAAAATAAAATAGTAGTGTTACAAAAAACAACAAGTGGCTTGAAGGCGGGCAGCATGCAGCAAGTCGGCGATGAATCAGAAACGGGGTGCCAGGGCGACAGGCAGTGGTTGTGGTTGTGGTTGTGTACAGTAGGAAGCACCTTCTCCGCGAGTCGCGTCGACGAACATGTGTCGTTGGGAATCCGTGGTTTCGGCGGACCGCGATGCTGTCATTGGGGTGCAAGCGACGCTGCTGTCATCCTGGTACACTTTCCGGTACCTTGCTCAAAGCACCTCCACGGTAGCCTGGTCTGGCCACAGCGGTTGTACCTCAGTAAGGTGACTTCAATGGTGCAGGCTGGGCCTTCCAGGCACGGACCGGACGCCGCGTTTACCCGACTGGCTGACTGCCTTACCTAAAGCAAGGCAAGGTACCTCTGTACCTTTGCAGATTCCAGCGCTGTGCCCGTGCTGTGTCTGCTCGCTGTGACTGGACACTTCATGGACGATAGACGATAAGGAGGACCGATAAGGCACTTGCAGGAAAGAGTCCGTACTCGACAATCGTAACTCGTACCTTGCTTCAAGTTGCACGAAACGATCCTGATTTTCTACCCTGTTGTTGCCGGTTCTGGCACTTGACAAGATCGTTGGCAAAGCTCCGGGCCAACAGGTACTGGAGCATAACCTCGGATACGGGAACGGCGATATCACTGTCTGTCGATTGAAAAGTGGCCTAGTGGCGGCAGCTTCGGACGCCAGCCTACCGACTTACCGCAAGGCTTAAGACAATGTACGTGATGTTCCAAGATGCTGCTGTGTTCGATGGAGGACAAGAGGTGCCGAGGCAAGATGGCATATCATGTATTTGGAACACTTCAATGAAAGGAAGGAATCACTTAGCTAGCATTGGCAACATGGCATTCCAGCCGGCACGAATTTCCATCTGCAACGGCGGCGCAAATGGGCCGGAGCCAAAGCACAAGTCGCCTCGGCTGCCTCTACCTACCTTGTCTTCTCCCCCTCAGTCGAATGAGATGCCACAGTTATCACCCCAGAATCCCCCAAACTCTCGGGTCGCAGTCGTGGGCCCCACCCACACCGCACGACGTCGTTCCAGTCTCTTCCGCCCGCAAACTGGTGCGATTCATCAGCCGACCTATCGATGAATGCCTTCTTACCTGATCGTCCCTGCGAAGGTTCCGTTTTCATAATACAGGCCAATCTCCTGTCACGCTCGCCCTCTGATCTCGGAGCATCTGTGCCAACATACAATTTTAGGAGCGGTCGTGTGGCCCCCTTGCAGAGTGACAGGCCCGTCATGATCGTTTGCGGCTTGGGCGACCGAGCGGCCATCCTGGCCCCTAACCCGGATGATCTTCCCACCTCAAACCTCTCCGGCGTATTGCGAGATCCCGATCAGCTTTAACTCTCTGCCGCGCCCGCCAATCCTGTTCGGCGGCCTCGTGCTATGTTTCCCCTCTTCGTCCTTTGGCCGTTTCATTGATGTCCTTTTTATTATCACTTCACCCGCTCCACCTTCCGCTACCGTTCCTACTCGCACATCACTCATTCCTACCATTGGGCGTGTTATCCATCAAGAGCTCCACATCCCAGTCTTACCCAACTTTGACTATATTGCATGCCAATCCGGACCATGGCTGCTCAGTATGAGACTTCCGTTGAGTTTAGAGAAGTAACGCCGCGGACCTTCTCACCCGATCCAGCAGACACTCACCGCGGCCGCAAGAGAGACCGCAGCCTCACGAGATGTGACCTGGAAGCCACGCACTATGGCGGCACCGGCGAATCCAGCACGCTTCGGGGCCGACCCCGCCGACGATCTACTTCGCCGGTGGCACTATCATCGAGAACTTCTTCACGAGCCATTCCGAGCACCTCTGTGTCTCCGATGAGGAAGCGTCTTCTCCGCGTCGTTCTCTTCGACCGGCGACGAAGCCAGAGCCCCTCCCGATCCCGGTCTCCCAATCACCAGCAGGCCCCGCGCCGGCGCCGGCATCGAACACGGAGCCGGAGCCGGACCCATACCAAAGACATGTATCAGGCCACTGATCAGCTGCCTCGGCCCCGTCAAGAGCAGCTGTACAAGCAAGCGAGCAAATCTGCCCAAGAGTGATAACGGGTGTGAGGGGGAGTAAACGCGTGAGCAAGGGACTAGAAACTTGGGGTGGAAAATAAGAATGAGGCGGCAACAGTCGAATACGCTGCTCACATGGCATTGTGCGGTGTGCATAATAAAAGCAGGGAATTTCGACATCCCGCTGCTAGTCGAATGGACCCAGGACCATAACCACGCTGATGAGATTCAGCCACAACGGCCGCGTCTCGGACAGCTCAGATCAACACAAGACAGATATCAAGACATCCGGGGTCACGGTGAGATCGATCCGGTTGGGTAGAGTGGATGGGTGTGTGAGTCCAAAACGGATCGCTAATCTGAGTGGCCGCGAGGGAAAGACGTCCTAAATTGGCTTATCGTCGAGATGGTGGGCAAGGCTTGGAGTAGTCGGGCCAAACACGAAGCCTAAGGTAGAACGGACCAGGTATTCGGGCTCAACTGGCGAGGCGTCGCCATCAGATGGATGGAATGGAAATGTGGCACAGGTATTCGTTCCTGCTCTCCAGGACGTAGAGGGGTTGACGATGGATACGAGCATTGTCAGGCTTGTCAAACCGGCGGACCCGGGTTGCACTCTCCTAGAGTTTGAAAGCAGATTATGACTGATTTGGGGGGGAAACATGATGATACAAGTAATGAGAAAAAAATTGCTTGGTCAAGTGATCACACACCCTTTCACAGGCTGCCTTTCGAGCCAACTCGCAGCCAACTACACCAAATTGATGGTGTAAGAGAGAGTGGGATGGTCTGGGCCGAGATGGGTAGGAGTGGGGCGCAAGGGCCAGGCTCAGTTTGAAATGGGTGGCCACGTGAGGGTGCGAACTTTCCAGGTAGCTAATCGGAAATCGGGAATCAACGGGTCTCCACTGCAGGTGCCCCGCTGCGAGAGGCGGAGGAGTGACCTCAGCTGCAAGAAGGCTGCAGCCAGATGCACCGCATTCCATGTGCCGCGCCTACCTCTTCACATTTTCCGCCTTCCCACGCTACAGGCTTCACTTCCGACAACCAGTCTTTTACTACACGGTCTGCGCTTGCCTGGGGTGTGTCTTGCCTCTTGTTTCTTTTTTTCTTCTTCTTCTTTTGCCTGGCGCTGGAACTGCAAATAAGTTCTTCATCACTACCTTACCACCTCACTCACACCCCCCTTCCGAGACAAGGACAATGACATGGGACAATCAGCACTTTGAACAGGCGTCGACTTGACTCGACCTTCGACCTCGTTCTCCTGCCCAACTTCGAGCGTCACCCATCTCATCCCACGGTGCATTTGTGGACTTTGGACCTTGATATTAGACCCAACTCATCTCACCACCCGTCTCTGGTCGCGACTCCCAATCTTTACTGTTTAGCAAGACTCACTGCCTGTGGCACAGTGGCTTCTGGGCTCCTCGCTTCTACCATATCTTGTCCATATCGTGGTCAAGTACCCACCTTCCACAACGTTGTTCACTGCCAGACGGATATCCAACATCTAGTTCGCATCCCTCGCGTTTGTGATGATCGCAACCACTCCTTTCGTATCGCTTATCTGAAGCCCATCACTTTGTATGCGACTTGCAGCGCTCTTTGAATAAGGGAACCGACGGCGAGCTGGCAGGAACAACGCTACCATGGCGTCGCCAAACGGCTCGAATGGTGAGTCCCCGCCCCCTCCTTGACCCGCGACAGTCCTTCTACCCCTCCAGCCGGAAGCCTCGACGACTCCTTCCCTTTGCGCTTCTTCTAGAACCGCGAAACCTCCCAGAAAATGGTATTCGCGAAAGGTCTCTAACCGTTTTCCCAACAAAGGGCGAGCGAACTACGCGATCAACTCTCAGTCTCAGTCGTGGAATCCGCAGGCACTACTCAACCCTCGCGCATACGCATCTACTCCTGCTTCGAAGCGAAATTCCCCCAAACCCCAGTCTCTAGCGACACGATCTGCGCCAGGAAACCAAAGCAGCAGCGACAACAACAATAACAGCGCCTTCGTCTTTCAATTCGCGAGCCCGAATGACACCCCGAGCGAGTCGTTAACACCCAGTATGGCTTCAGGCGCGTCGACTCCCGGCCGCGACGGCCGTGTTTCGCCCTACGGGATGGGCAACATGATTGAGCGAATGAATGATGTCCAGGATCGCGCTTCAGCGCCTCAGCCCAAGCGCAGGAAGTACGACACACCCGAATCAGATGCCGACAACAAGAAGACGATGGGACCTGGTGGCAGCGGCATGCTGGGCGCCTACGTCAAGGAAAAGCAGGATGCAGGCAAGAAGGAGAACTCAAAGGTATCCACGCACACCGTGGATCTCACCGAGGGTGACGACGACGTGGTCATGGTTGAAGACCCCGCAACGGAGGAGGTTTGCTACGGCATGCTGACTGCCAACCTCGATTGCCACAAGGTGCCGTCTGCGAAGCCAGGAACACAAAGTATTTTTGGAGCGGATTTCATGCCCCCAGTCAAAATCGTCTTGAAGAGAATCATTGGCGACTCGACGAAGAAGATCCAGGCCTACGACTACACGCGCGATATCATTGGAAACGTGGACGCACACACCGCTGGGGCCCTTGTTCCCTTGCTGGACTCCAACGTGCGTCTCAGAACCGACTGTAAGATCCCCGCGCGTAGGAAGCAGGCGGATGAAGAGCCGGGCAAGGCCATCTCGAGGTCTTACCCCGTGGAGATGACTCTTTACGGCCAATACAGATTCGCGAAGGCTGTTGGCAAGCACTTTGAGCGAGCTAAAATCATTCTGCGTCACCCTAACAGGGTTGACAAGGGCGTCAGATACGAGAACGTTCATGCCGAGTCGAAGCCCGTGCCAGCCCCTGGTGCCAGGAACCTGGCCGGAGCCCTTGCTCAGTACAACAGTCACTCATCGTCGACCTACTACACCAACCCGACCCCTCGCACTGTTGAGGAGATTCGGTCGGACGTCATGGGCGTCTTTGACTCCATGGGGAAGACGGATGAGCTTCCTGAAATGGACCCATCGCCAATCATCACCACTGAACTGCTCAAGCATCAGAAGCAAGGCCTTTTCTTCATGGCAGCCAAAGAGAGGACTTCGAGCGCCGAGGAGAGAATCAAGGGCTCGATGTGGCAGCTCAAGATCAGCCCCACTGGCCAGAAGTCCTACTACAACGTCATCACGGGCCAGGCAGAACGACAGCTTCCCCCGGACACCCACGGTGGCCTGCTCGCTGACATGATGGGCCTGGGCAAGACACTCAGTGTCCTCTCGCTCATTGCCAGCTCTATGGACGAGGCTCAAGAATGGGCACGTCGCACGCCTGTTCAGCCCGAAATGCCACCCCAGAAGGCCGGGGGCAAAGCGACAGCCTCAAGCTCCTTGCCACTGACCGGCATTGCCATGAATGCCAAGGCAACGCTTCTTGTATGCCCCCTGAGTACCGTCACGAATTGGGAGGAGCAGATCAAGCAGCACATCGCACCAGGACAGTTGAGCTATTACATTTACCACGGCTCGAACAGGATCAAGGACGTTGAGAAGCTGGCCGAATTCGATTTGGTGATCACCACCTACGGCTCTGTCTCGAGCGAGCTGGGCGCTCGCAGCAAGCGGAAGTCTGGCAAATACCCGCTTGAGGAGATTGGGTGGTTCCGCATCGTTCTGGATGAGGCTCACATGATCCGCGAAGTGGCGACGTTACAGTTCAAGGCAATTGTTCGTCTGCAGGCTGCTCGCCGCTGGGCTGTTACCGGAACCCCCGTTCAAAATCGTCTTGAAGACTTGGCCGCCCTTCTGCAGTTCATCCGACTCAGACCCTTTGACGACCGAAACAAGTTCAACCGGTTCATCGTGGATCCATTCAAAGCCTGTGACACGGAAATTGTCCCCAAGCTCCGTGTTCTCGTGGATAGCGTTACACTTCGACGCCTGAAGGACAAGATCAATCTTCCCCCGCGTAGCGATCATGTCGTCAAGCTTGATTTCACTGCCGAAGAGCGTGAGGTTTACGACCTGTTCGAGAAGAATGCTCAAGACCGTGTCAAGGTCCTCGCCGGAAACGGTGTGCAACGGGCGTTGGGAGGTCATACGTATATCCACATTCTCCGATCGATCCTGCGGCTTCGCCTCCTCTGTGCCCATGGCAAGGACCTCTTGAACGAAGAAGACCTAGAGGCCTTGCAAGGCATGACAGCTGACATGGCTATTGACCTTGACAGCGACGACGAGGACAAGAAGCCCGGTTTGTCGGACCGAAAGGCATACGAAATGTTCGAGCTTATGCAAGAGACGAACACAGATGGGTGCAGCGTCTGCTCCAAGAAGTTGGGGTCCAACGACGACGCTAGCATCGAGTCGGAGGGACAAGAAGACATTCTCGGCTACATGACGCCCTGCTTTCATATCGTCTGCGGTGCCTGTATCAAGGCTTTCAAGGAACAAAGCAGACAGTTGCTCGCTCCAGGCGAGGCCACGGGGCCCTGCCCGATCTGTTCCACCGTTATCAAACCCGCCTACGTTGACATTCGTCGGTCCCGCGTCAAGGTCGAGCACGAGGGGCCTGCTAAGGACAAAACCTCCTCAAATGGCCGCAAGAGCTTCGGCAAGTACTCGGGACCCCACACCAAGACCAGAGCTTTGGTTGAGGACCTCCTCAAGTCGAAGGCTGACAGCGACGCGAACCCGCATGAGCCGCCGTACAAATCCGTTGTGTTCTCCACGTGGACCTCGCATCTCGATTTGATCCAAATGGCTCTTGACAATGTTGGCATCAAGTATGTCAGGCTTGATGGCAGCATGACGCGTGTCGCACGAACTCAGGCGATGGACAACTTTCGTGAGGACAATTCAGTGCATGTCATCCTGGTGTCCATCACAGCTGGTGGTCTTGGCCTCAATTTGACTGCAGGCAGCAACGTCTATGTTATGGAGCCCCAATACAACCCCGCAGCAGAGGCTCAAGCCATCGACCGAGTTCATCGTCTGGGCCAGAAGCGACCCGTCCGCACAGTCCGCTACATCATGCGAAACAGCTTCGAGGAGAAGATGCTCGAGCTACAGGAGAAGAAGAACAAGCTGGCGAGTCTCAGCATGGATAGGAAGGATAGGGTCTTTGACAAGAGCGAGGCGGCCCGGCAGAGGCTGCAGGACCTCCGAAGCCTGTTCAAATGAAATTCCAAGGAAATCACTCGACAGTGTCAAGGGCCGGCTTATCTGCATTGCGCAAGCATAGCACCGAGGCGTTTGGGAGTACACAGGAAGCAAGCATATTGGGAAAGGGTTGGCGTGCGGCAATTTGGCCTCAACAGGACTTTTTTTTTCTCTTCTTCTTTTCATGTCAGTTGCCACCTGTGATTGAGTCGGTGCGAATCTCATTCGCTCGAACCACTCAGGTGGCTAGCCGGCTGCATTGTTGGTGTAGGGAGGGGGAGGCATCATCACTTTTCCACACGTCCCAGGACGTAACGATACCAGGCCGATTCAGCATCTTCTATCTCATTGACGCGAGTGGTAAGCATGAGTTTGGTTGAGGATGGGGTTGGGAGGCAATCTTTGATTGTTTCTGTCTATCGGTACGCGAGTGTACGACACTAGATTCGCATCGGACTTACCCAGGCAGTTGGGGAGTCTCACGATAAGGGCGGCAAGCAGTTTTTTTTTGGACTGGAGGAGGGGAAGTACCTTTCGTTGCGATCAAGAGTTGATAGTTCCGAGCGGCCACAATGCCACTTTGCACATAACATCGGTCTGCTCATCACATGCTTTTCCCAGGCCACGCAAACTCACGGTGATTGTCCTATCTCGACCCCCCGGTCGCAACGATTGGGCGGGCACAATCGTCATCCAAGGCGAACGTCTGGCACCCCGCGATGCTTTACGTAGTATGACGGGACTGTCGACAAAGTGTTGATGTCGTTGCAAGGCATGGCTGGGGGGCGGCCATGGACCACCCCTGCTCCGGTGCGAGTTGACTACGACCGCATCCAGGCCGCTAGGCGACGGAGGAGCGTACGTCCAATTGTCCAGTGTGCATGTTGTAGCCGTTTTGCATGAAAGTTTGGGTGTGTAAGTGCGTGTCACTATATTGTGGAGGGCCCAGGTGTACGACGGGTGAGCCGACCCAAGCGTTGTGTGTGTAGTTGAACCCCCAGGATTTGTGGTTTTGTTTTGGTTTTTTTGTTGAGAAGTAGCTGTGTGTGTCTGTTTGTTAGGTAGTCGGGGAGAAGAATACCAACGCAGGTGGCCCTTCCACGAACACCACCACCACCCCCCCGGGTGGGTGAGACACTTGGGCCGTAGAGTTGTCTGTCCAGCGGCCGAGCCGTTCGTCCGCGTCTCCGCCCCAACCCAACACTGAATGATGCACCTTCTCGTCTGGTCGGCCTGTCACCCCCATCCCCCACAGCAGCGCCAGCCGCCGGCCAAGTGCTTCTGCGGAGTCACCCTCTGTAACCCCCCCCCCCCTTGGCTGTAACCCTCTCCCGCACGCGGCATATGCCAAGGTGGCGGGAGGAGGCTCAACGCTAAGCGACGTGCTGGTAGAGTTGAGGTGGTAGCTCGACGACGTCAAGGGGGAGGGAAAGCATGTGATTGTGTTTGCGAGAAACCTGGTTAGAGATGGCAGCGGGGTGGTCCGTCCATGGCTGGATCATGTAGTGGAATAGTATGGTCAACTGTTTGGCTCTTTGATGTGTCTCGCGGCTCGAAGCCGCAAGTCTCGTGAGATGAAGATATCAAGTTATATGAAACCAAACTAATATAATCAACGTGATGGGCCGACTGGTTCCTTCGCTCTTATACATATATGTTCACTAGTGTCACTGTTTTCTGAAAATTGACCACTTGATTGGTATCACAGGAAAAAGCAACAAATTCTTTTCAGGTCCAAGTGAACGTTGTTTGTAATTTCATTCTAGCCTGCTGATCGGGCATTCCCATTTTTCTAGTCTAAACAGTTCTCATTACTGTGAAGGTGAACGCCCACTGCAATGCCTAACCCCGCAAACGCCTTAACAATATCCCATAGTTGTGAGGTTGGCAGTTGCTCTCACTCTCAGACAAGCTGAAGTGGCGAAGAAGCGTCAATAGCAACGACTTCTACAAGCCCTAGTGAGGGCAGTTCCGACCAATCAAGCCGCGTAGGGCCGACTGCGTTGGAATGCCCCTCAGAAGTGAAAGTCTGACACTCCCGCATCTTCCGCCCCATCTGGATGTGTTCGATTCAAAACAAGCCTCCCAGTTGTCATTAAAATTGTCCAGTCCATCTTCTCATTCATGCAGCGTCGGCGCTGGCGGCAGGCATCGACACGCGGGTGAGCTGGTCACCAGCACGGACGATACGCTGACCACTAGAGTCGGTGACGTAGGTCATGTCCTTGTTCTCGTACTGGGCACGCTTCCAAATTTCGACCTCACAGCCGCCGCGGAGAACACCAACGCGCATGGTGGAAAGAAGGTTGTGGGCGGCGTTTGAGTGGAGGTAGACACCACCGTTGAAGATTGCAGTAGCGTCCTTGCCCACAGCGGAAGAGATAAGAGCCTTGCCACCCGGGTGCTCCTTGATGAAGTCAGTCACGTCGTGGATAACACCGGCAATGGCAACAAGTCCCCTGCCATTCTTGGCCTGCGACACGAAGTCATCCCAGTCGATGACGGGGAGCTGCTCCAAGGGAACACCCCAGTCAAGTCTGGCGCGCTTCTGGTCAAGCTTCTTCTGGAGCTGCTGAACACGACCCTTCTCGATCTCGTTCTGGCGGAACTGCTTCAGGTCGGATGCGAGACCGAGCTGCTTCCAGGTCCAGATGCACCACTTCGTGGGGTCGTACTGCCACCACTGGATAGCGTTGCGGTAGTCGGAGGGGAACTCGTGGTGGAAGTTGTGGTATCCCTCACCAAGAGTGACGAGAGCGGTGATGACGTGGTCACGAGGTGAGTTGCGGTCGTCAAAGGGCTGATCACCGAGCCAGTGGGCCAAAGAGTTGACGCAGAAAGTGGCCTGCTGAACGACGAAGATGCGGAGGATACCACCGTAGACGTAGCCGCCAAGCCAGTCACCCCAGCCGAGACCACAGACGAGGGTAGGGAAGATAACACCCATGGCGATGACACACTTGATGAAGTGGACGTGCTGCCACATGACGACGGGGTCCTCGTTGAGGTCGGAGATATCGGTGCGGCCCATACGCTTGGGGTCCTGCTTCAAAACCATCCAGCCGATGTGGCTGTAGAGGAGGCCCTTGCGAACGGAGTAAGGGTCCTTGTCGGTATCGGTGTATCGGTGGTGGGCGCGGTGGCCGTGAGACCACCATCGGATGGAGCCTTCGACGGCGCCGGCGCCAACAGCAGCGAGGTAAATTCTGAGGGGAAGGCTAGCCTTGTAGGAGCGATGAGCCCAAAGACGATGGTAACCTAATTGCGTGTAAGTACATCAAGCAATCCTGTTTCAACAATAAGATTCACAACTTACCAGCAGTAATGCCGAGACCGGTGTTGAAGTAGTAGACGACAGCGAAGACGGCCGTCTTCCATGTGAGAGGGATCCAGTAGGAGCAGATGAATCCAACCAAGGGGACGATCAGGATGAAGGTGGTGTTGAGCCAGTTAACGTGCTTGTGCCAGTTGGCCAAAGTGACAGGCTGGGTCGAACTGTTGGACATGTTAGTTTCCGACCTGCTTGGTCTAGTAGGGTCGGCGGAATACGCACATGTGAGGCTTCTTGCTGTCGTAGACCTTGGCCGCACGCACGGGAACGTAGTCAGCAGTGCCATCGGGGAAGCTCTCGGCCTGCTTGACCGACGCGGCGGAGGACGAAGTCGTCGCCGACATGTTGAAGGATGAGCCAACAGGCTACGGTCGAGAGATCGGCGGTTCTTTTCGGAAAAGGAAGTACTCCGAGATGTCTGTACCAGAAGACAACTCCAACGATGCTTGTTGTCTTGGGTAGGAAGCAACGTCCACGATAGCAAGTACTGTCCGATGGCCGATTTGGGCTGTGGACTGTGGAGGAGATGGGAAGGTCTGAGGAACAGGCTCGCAAGGTGAGGAGGAGATGAAGAGTTATGAATTATATAAAGGGAAATGGATAGGTTTAGAGACCCCAGCAAGGAGGGACAGGTACGGAGGCCGGGGTACCTTTGGGCGAGGTGTCCGCCACCCACCAGCTTCAAAAATCCCAGCAAACGAGTGAGTGGGAAGGGTGGGATGGTGGTGGGGAGGGGGGTGGTCCTGTGAATCAGATCACTTAGTTCAGGACCCAGGACATGTCACAATCAACCGAAAAAATGCAAAGGCGGATGGGCTCCGTGGGCCTAAGGGCCGTGGGGTTGGACTTTGGCTTCACAATGTTGCAGGCTGGATGGAATGGGAGAGAGAGTGGGACCCTCGATCTGGGCCGGGATGTGCAGACGAGGAGAACGAGCAGAAGGACAGACCAGAGGGAGAGGAAAGAAGCTTCCTCCTTGCCGTACCGAAGTATAGGAAAGGTACAAGGACCCGCACAGAGAATCCGCGGCCTTGCCCCATTCCCGAGAAGTACCGGGCGACAACGCGTGTATCCGAACGACGGGAAAGAATTATGCTGAGCATGGCAAAAAGCAGGTTGGCAGGGCAGAAAGGGACGTGGAAAATGTACCTTCCTCGCCTATTCCAGCCGGGAAGGTACCAAGCGCATGATCCCTTGCAGTTTGTTCCAATAGGTGTTGTCAACCGGTCGTAATAGGAAGTGACCTTCTCCTTGCTTTGCATACATGACCAAGAAAAAACCGCCAATGCATAATCAGATGGTCTCCTTGAATAAGGCACTCTGTAGGTACTGCACCCAACAATCAAACACCAATCGGCAGGTGGCATCACAACATCTCTCGGCCCCTTCAGCATCTTGTGGAAACCATTCCTCCCTTTCCTCCGCCTGCCACTTCGTCTCCTCGGCTCTCCGTGCCTGGCCTGGCTGCAACCTTGCTGAGAACACCGCCATCTGCGTGTCAAGGTTGGGAGACGTATCTTTCTTCGTTGGGATGGCTAAAGACGGGCAGTTCAACTATCTACCTAGATCCCTCACAGGACCCTTTCTTCTAGGGACCAACAAACAGCGACCCAAATTCACTAATCTGGACGAGAGCAGGAAAACATACCACTAACAGCTCGACACTTGAGGATCAGAAGCAAAACCGGCGCCTGCCAACGCACAGCATCTTGTTGCACAGCCGAGGATAAGACGATTTACAGCCCCAGATCAGGTCACGTCTTCGTTGGCTGCTGTCACCCTCTGCTCCCTGGTCCCGCAGGCTTCTAGGATTTGCTAGTTTAGGCATTCTCTGTCTCTTGGGGGTGAGGTGGGAGGTTGTCAATCTGCAATGAATCACTGGTAAGCACGCACGAGATGGATGTGGTCCAAAGGAAAAAAAGTCCCGGCTCCCAACAACTTCCCCAACGCTTTTCACTATGACGGGCCGTTCATTGGCGGAGGCAGGGGGTGGCCCCTGCCATGTGGCCGCCGCTGGGGCGGGGCGGATGGGCGGCTGGAATTGATCTTGCCTGATCCGGACATGTATCCACACTCTACTTCCCACTTCCAGTGTCTCTAGGCCCGCGACTTCAGTGTCTCCAGGGCTGAAGAGTTGTCCAACTGGATTGATGTGTGGCATCCTCCTCGAGCCACCACGCGCCTGCGCTTGTCTGAGAGGAGCAGAAAGTCACGGCTCGCTTTCACCATGCCGACGCCGATTACCACGTCTGATAATCCCTTCTCGTTCTGATACTCTCCCCCAGATCTCCACGACGGTGGCGATGTTCTAGACATGTTGTCTACGGCGCTCGGCTTCTATGCGAGGAACAAGGCGACCGAAAGGCGTTTCGAGCCTTGTCGAGCGCCTCAAGACTTCGGCCTTCTCGCTAGCACGTTTTTTCCGGAACGTCTCTCTTGTCTCACTGCACCTCATGCAGTAACTTTGTACCTGCAGCTGCCTATCACACGCCCGACTTGGAGCAACCTGGACCATTTCCATCAACAGTTGCTTACCGCTCCTCGGGCGCCATCTGACTATGTGCATCTCCTCGAGCAGGGTGCAAGGGAGAGGTTGGGAGGCATCGGATTTGACTGAGACGACTCGTTGCTTGCAAGCTCCAATCTCGTTGTCTCGGTCCGATCAACCACTCCTTCCCTTCTCCAGACCCCGCTGGATCATGCGCCAAAATACACATGCCGAAGAAACAAAAAGGTGACGGTGAACCAACACCAGCGCAAGGTGAGTGATGCGTCAAAGGTGGCGGCGGTTCGTCCTCAACATGTGCCCCACTCGGAGCTCCATTGAATGACGGAGGTCTCACGTCGCCTCCGAGCTTTCCAGTGGTAAGGCTTCTTGAGGCCTCTCCACCAGCAGGGGGGCTTATCTCTCTTCCTTATCGCCGAGACGACCATCTCACGGAACTCGAAAACCACGCCAACTAGCCTCGTTCATTCCCGTCTGTGTCGCGATCGGTTGAAAGTCTCGGCCTGTGGTGAGAACACGTTGGTGGAGGCCACAGGTCACTTCGGGTTTGGTGTATGGGAAATTGTTCACCATTGCAGCCTCGGCATCTCCAGGTCTACCATCATCATGCGACGCCTCCGCAACCAACCTGGCCCTCGAATTCGCTTCCCCCGGTAACCTTTTTTAAAAGAGAGAAAGACGACATCCGCCATTCCCACTCTAGCATCCCGGCCCATCCCCAACAGAAACAGGACCCTGCCCCGCAATCCTCCGCTCCAGAGTTGCAGGACACGGCAGGGGTTACAGGTGTCTTTGCCTTCGCCATCTCGACCCGAGGTTGGCTCTGTGGCTGCCTGTCGCTTCACGCTCCGTGGTGGGCTTTTTTCCACCTTTCACATTCTAATGCATCCCTTCCTGTCGGTGGCGGAGGATCACGTGTTCCACAGCCAGCTAGAGATCGGGAGCTCGCGATTGGCCTTCGACAATCGCGAAGGCTCAAGATCGTTTCCCCCTTCATCTCCGACAGACTTCGCCATTCTAGAACTTTTCTATGCTAACCCGATTAAGTGAGGCGCTCCCTCTCACACTTGGCCGACGCCACACCCGACCCGCCCTGTCAATCCCCATCACTGGTTTTGTTTCTTCCCATCCAAACCTTTTTGCTGCTGGAAGCTTAGGAGCCAGAGCTCGCCGCACCTGACTTGAGGCGACCCAAGCTCCAAGCTTCCCGCCCCTCAAGCTATACAACTGCCGCGCTCTGGCTTTACAAGCTGCTGCACCTAGCTCCCTTCACTCATCCAGTCCAACCAAAAACCTGCCGAAATCGAAAAGAACGCGTGCCTGGTTGAGTTCGATCTATCCGTACCCCAGCTTCGCCTACATATGCATCGATTCCCATCAAACCGCCGCCAAGACGATGTCAAATCTTGTCTGGACCGCCTAGGTCGAGTCACATCTGCAGCAGATCCCGGGATCTAGGCGATATTTGGTCCTCACCGCTAGCACATTCCTTTCATCTACAACAGCCCTCGGTTGACATACCCTTCTCCTCCCTACCTTCGGGAACTCCGATCACCGTTGCTACAGCTCGAGCCACGACTCTCATATCAATTTGGCAGGCTCTGGTCGCCACCCAACGTTGCGTTTCCCTCAGGGCGTCCGTTTTCTTCCTCATGATTTCTTTCATGTTGTGTTGATCAGCTGACTTGACAAATCTCAGCATTGCATCCAGTGGTTCGGTCAAAGGACATCTCATCAGTCCTTCAACTCTTCCAAAGTCATCTAGAGTCACCAAGGGGATTGCAGTCTCGGACATCTATGCTCATCATAGGTTCATTCGATGCCATCATTTATCTCACAAGGTTCCCGAATATCTACACCAATGCTATGCCAGATGACTGATGGGGCAGCCAATCCGAGTTACGAACTGGCTGCGTTACCACTCAAGAGAAAGAAAGACGCCATCCTTAATGCCCGGCTCATCGAGTTGCTCACTTGCACAGTTCGCTTCCAGTTGCCTCACCCTCTAGTATACACTCATCATTTCTCGGCTTCTGTCGTCATCGTCGCTGATGGTGCTGCCGTTGCCGCTGTCGTTGAGAAAAAGTCGTCCTCGAGAGACACCTTCTCCCGCATCGTCTGTTCCTCCGTATCGAGGTGTGCCGCGCCGACGCCGCTGAGCTCCGGAGCTTCCGCCGCTGGGGAAGACGGTGCTGCTGTCTTGACTTCCGCACCGGCCTTGGGCGTGGCATCGTCTGTAGACGGAACTTCTGTAGCGGGTGCAGACGGGATCTGCGGTTCGGCAACGGTGGCCACCGTCTTCTCGGTCTCAGCCGCGGCGACGTTTCGGTCTGCCACAGCGTTCGCTCTAGCCAACGGCGTTGCTGCCGGATCCCCCTGCTCCGCAAGCTGTGGTGCAGCCACGACGTCTCCCGACTCGCTCGAAATCTTGTCGTTGCTGTTCAGTTGGGTTTTGGGTTCTGTTTTCCCCATTACAATGGGCTCTGATTGCCCTGCTGTTCCTTTACCGTTCGGATCGGTCTCGTTCTCACGCTCAAGTTGACCCGCCTCCTCCGCCTGGTCTCCTGCCGCGTCCTCCACGTCTGTATTGCTATTCTTGACTGTTAGAGGACTTGCTACGGTTGGCGGTGATGCGACAGGGTCGACGGAAGCGTGCAGCTCCGTCAGCTCATTCTCGGAGACAACCCCGGCGGGCTCCTCTCCAACAAGTCTCTTGTCCTCTTGTCCTGGCGTCTGATCGAGTTCAGCCCGATCCAACGCGGCTAAATCGTTGGACAGGGGTGTCCACTGTAGCTCCTCCAGCCTCTGTTGCATTGACTTGCTCGTCTCGTCCATCAACTCGGGTGTCGCTATGGAGTCCTTACTGGTCGTTGGTGTTGCGCTCTTGCGATCCTCCATCTCGTCTCCTCCGACGTCGCTGTACGACGGTGCAATGTTCCTGGCCTCCGCCCAGCTCGATACGTTACGGCCCATGTGAGGTGAATCACAGCGCCCGTAATGACTTGGAAGCGGGCTCGGAGGAGACCGCCCTCTCGTATAGTAGTATGGGTCTTGAGAAAAGCCTCTCGTCGGATCGACGTAGGTGTGGCCTAGGTTGACGTATGACCAGTCATGGGCCGGCTGGACAGTCTTGACCCGTGCGTGAGCATTGCCTTGGTAGTCCTCCACAAAGTATTCCTGCATGGTATAACCGTCGTCCACCGAAATGGACGGGGGAGCAACATCATCTCCAACCGCTGGTTCGGGAAACAGAGCCATGAGCGATGAAGCTTGCAGCCGCAGTCTGGGATCATCGCTCAGACAGATGTCTACCATCTCGCGGTACCAAGCTGGCACGATGTGCTCCTCTGTGAGCTGCAAGGGTCGTCCCTGAGCCTCAGGTTCATCATCCTGTGCTGCCAATGCCCATAGAACCATGCCGAGTTGGTAGAGGTCGGACTTGACACCAATGTACATGGAGATGCGCTGGTTGCTCTCGATAAGCGGTGTTGCTTCTGGAGGCTCCCAACCTACCGGGCAGCCTCGTCTGTTGATGTCGATAATTTTGGCGTTGTCCTCGTCGTCGATGACAATATTCGAAAGGGTGAAGTCGCCCTGTACGAAGCCAGATTCGTGAATATCCGCCAGTCCTTGCACGATCTGACGCGCCCACTTCTCTCGAATCGGCCACGGCAGACCCAACTCGGAGTCCTGTCGATTGTCATAGATGACGTCGATGAGAGCACCGTGGACGGCATAGCTGATGAGCAGCCCTTTAACGTGCTCATCATCATCATCAACAACAACACCGTAGAATCGAATAATGTTCCTCGAATACCGAAGTCGATTCAAGGCGTTGATCTCGTAAAGAAACTCGTCGATGGTGTCGGGGCCTGGTATTTCTTTCTTGATGAGTACCTCGCCACCAACGCTGACTTTGTAAACAAAACCAGACATGTGAGAATCAAAATCAATGTCTTTTTCCCTTATCCTCCGACAGCCCAGGTGTTGCACTTGGCGAACAGTAGGGTATTGAATGATCTCCTGTTATAAATTAGCACCCGAAGCGGTGTTGACGAACCGATTGACTTACGTTTACGTCCTCAACCACATGAACATGCAATCGACCATCAGTGGTCTGTAGCTTTAGGTTGGTCACGGACTGATAAAATTGGATGTCTTGCAAGCTATCTCTGATGGCTTCGTAGATCTTTGAGCTCTTGTCGCGTTGAGACTTGGTATGCATCAAGTCCAATTCGAGAGAGTTGTCCGGGGCATTGCGATAATCGAGAGAAATGGTTACCCGACGCCAGAGGGTCGGCGTTTCTCGATAGGTCACAAAGAACTTTTCCCTCTTGGACTTATCCCGGAAATGCATGCTGAGGTTGAGAATCCAAGTGGTTTCGAGCTCATCGTGAATCATAGCCTCGTAATGCGATTGAGATGTCGTTACTGAATGCGCATCGGAATTCGACTGCAATTCATGCACATGACAATCGTCGTCAGTGGGTGCTGATGCTGGAGCTACCATCTGATTCAAGCTGGCTTCGGCCTTTTCCTCGACAGGGCTGGCCGGGGCAGAAGGGGCGGACTGGACCTCGTAGGCATTTTCGAGGAAATCCGGGGCGCTAGCTCGAGGGAACGACTGAACCTGTGACGCCGTACGTGACGACTGCACGCGTCTGTCCACCGATAAAGCTCGCCTCTCTGCCGGAGAAGGCTCAACTGGTGCAAGATTGTTTCTACGCTCTGACTGTTGGCGTTTGAAGGTCTGCACCCGAGGAAGTCCGGGCACGACTTTTCTAGAGACTCGGCGCACCAGGCCTGCACTTTGCGGGTCGTCGGAGTCGGGCTCAGGCTCAGGTTCGGGCTCGGGCTCCTTGGCCTGGAGCGGGCCGACGGGTGCCGGAGCCGCATTGTTTCGTCCGAAGAGCTTGCGCAGGAAGTTTGTGGAGTGATGACCCGACGAGGGCGGCGGCTCCGTGGAAGATAGGCTCGCTTGCGCCATCATCAAACAAACGAGAGGCACAGGTGAGATGTTGTCGAGGTGTTTTCTTGATGTGACCGTCAAGACGGTGGAAAGGTGAGGCTCTAAGCGGTGTGGTTCTGGGGACGAGGTGTTAATCAGGTATAGGCCCGCAAACCTGGTCCGGGAGCGAACCAGACGGGGGACAAGGATGAGCCTTGAAGCGAAAGACGGTCAACGTTCAGCCTGGTTTCTGGGCTGGCTTGGTGCCGGGTCTGAGCTAAATTGGGCTGGCAGCGGCTGGGAGGTGGCCGGGCACGGGCAGCGCGAGACAAGAATGACGACGGGCGTCTTTTTGTGGACGTCCAGTTTGCAACTCGAGCGTTACGGGCAGTATGCAGGCAACCGCACGCAGAGATGAGACATCAGACGTTGTAACGAAGGAGGATGGAAGTTTGCAGAGAAGCAATGGTGAAGACGACCATGTTCAGACGAGAGCGACGGGGGTGGAGGACGAGGGGGATCGGCCGGGACTCGACGGGCCTTTTGGAGGAAATCTCGAACCCCAGTCAGGAGGCTGTCGGCAAGTCAGTGGTGTGCACGGGTGCTAAATGTGGTGCATCTGCTGTCATTCGAGAACAGGCAGGAAACCAAAGTCGGGCCTGAACGGTGGAGTTCTTCCCGAATACTGGCAAGGTCGGATGGGCTCACTTTAGAGGATAGCCAGGTAGACGACGACGGCAGCGCGTCTGCGGGTGTTTTTCGACGATAGAGGAATGGTGTTGGCGCCTAAGGTGATTCGCCGAGGGCCAAGGCGGGGTGGCAGTGTAAGGTGTGGGAGCGAAGCTGAGTCGGATGGCCCTGCGTCTCGGTAGGATAGATGTGGTGTAGATAGGATACGATGATGACGGACGACGTAGGCGTGGGAGATATGTGTATCGACGGCGGTGCAGTCGATATGTAGGTATGGCCTGGCTAAGCTGAGCCAAACGTCGGGTGCGTCGAGATGTGCTAGTAGTGGCCGACAGGCTGGACGACGAGGTGAGGCGAACGTTGGACTTGGGTGATTTGTATGGAAACCAAGCGACACGGGGCTGACCGGGGACTTCCAAGAGGAGCGAGAGGGGGAGGGGCACCGTTGACGGTTGCCCTGGACACTCGCCGTCGTGGGGTCCAGCGTCAGCGCCTGCGTCTGGGTTTCTGGTCCGGAGCAGCAATTTTTACTTTTGTCGCAAGGGGATATATCCAGCGTAGTGCATGCGCATGCAGGAGCAGCGCGTGAGGTGAGGAGGAGGAGGAAGAGGAGGAGGAGGAGGGAGTATTGTTATGCGAGGACAATATCGAGACCCCCAGGTCGTGTGTTTCTGGTTGCTGCAAGAGGCTGGGAGGCTGGGCACCGGAAGAGGCCTTGTCGAGCTCCCGTGCCAATAGCAAGATCAGGCGGAGATGGAGAGCCGTCGTGCAGTGGCGCTCTTGGAGATGCCTTCTGGATTAGGGGAGGTAAGAAGCAAGCGCATGTGAGAATTGAGCAGAAAACCCAGATGGCCAGTCAAGTTGGAGACTGGCTGGCAAGACGGTAGCGAACGGACGCTAAGGCACGTTGTAAAAACCAATGGCAGTCAATGAGGCAGTAGATACATGAGAGTAGGTATTGCGGGTAGTCAATGACCCCAAAGGTGCCATGCTTTCTTGACCTCACTTGGGCACTCAGGCACCGTGCCCTGCCTGCCACCTCATGGCCGTCTGTCGCTAAATGTGGATGGCTTGCCGGGGCGGGCTTAGGTGAGGGACGGTTTGCGCTAAACGGGAGGGCGCTGGGAGCTTGACTCTTTGTGGAGGAGTGGGGCTTTCCTAACTTTGATGCGCTGTCCCTCCTTCTCTCCCGTCCAACTTGGGCGTCAAATGTCTAGTGACAGCTGGGCCGATCTCCCAAAGCTTTCGAAGAAGGGAAAGGAAGGGGAGCTAGTGCCCGTAAATGCTCACTGCCTCCCGTTCCGAAACGTCCAAGGGACGGTAGGCTCCTTTGGGATGCAAATGCCCTTTTCCTCCCGGCATCAGACGTGCGAGCGTCCCTTTTGTTGCTGCCTTTGACGACCATCGCCATGTCTCCTCCAGCGGTGGATATCCTCCTCATTCACCAAATGAAAAGCATGCGGTATTCCACCTGCAAGTAGGTGTACAAAAACACTTTCTGCAAGACACCAGCTGAGCCATCGGGCCCCATATGAAGACCCAGCCTGAGGCCCCCCTCCACCACGAACTCTTCTCCGTCATCTTGGCGTCCAGCTTCTCATGTACAATGACCTCCATCCTCAGCCCTCCTCTGACGATTGGATCCCGATTGCCTTTTCTGTGGGCTTTGGGTTCGTTGGGCTCGCATTCAAACCACGACCCTTTCTTTCAAACCTGCTAATCATCCACATCGTCACTGCACGCCTCCTTTTCACTCAATTGCCTTCACAATCAACAATTGACCGCCCTTTACCTCCTTGCCCGGCCCACACGCCGATATAGAAACTAACAAGGGTGGCCGGACGGAGATCGGAGACAGAAAGCGGATTGGGGCATAAGATACTACAGGGCCCAGGGCCAGGGGGCATGTCGAGTTGATCACCCAAGACTCTCCGTCACGTCGGCCAATTGGTGACTCAACGGCTCAGGGGCTGGCTATCTCAGAGATCTGGACCTGGGGTATCGTCCGCTTTCACTTCCGAACGCGGTTGACCGTTGCCGCCAAAGTCACATCACGGGTGTGGGAGGTTCGTCCTGGACAAGCGCGACGACACACCCGTGGGAATCGGCTTCGGCCAGTTGCACCAACGGCATGTTTGCAATCCAATGGGCCGAATGAACCTCGAGAGCAACCCGTCACTGGCTAAATCCTCTCGATGTTTTGACCCGCTGTCTCCCACAAATGACGGCGCAAAAGGACTCTCTTCGCTTGCCCACCTGCGTCGAAGATCCGTCACTTGCGCAATCTTACAACTGATGGATCCTCTCCGTTTTCTTGCGTCGGACTCTGCCTAGACGACTAAGCAAGGACGATGAAATGCCCACGTGCTCATCGCTCTTCTGCGTCGAGGCCACCTGCTGCGCGACCCATTGCTCTCGTCCGCAGTCTGGAGGGGCCAACGCATCGCCAATCAGCCGTCTGTCACGTTTTCGCCCTCCACTGCCTGACGCTATGCCATTTGCAAGGTGACACGACAGCTACTGCGCTACAGCCGATGGCACCGCAACATAGCACTGCAACGCATGCGCATACGAACGAACTGGCCCAGCGTCACTGAGAGTTATCCCATGAGGTTGGTGCCGGCTGCAACCGCTACTTTCTTGACACTTCCTCCAGCCTAATAGGCTGTTCGCGCTTCAGTGCCCCTGCTAGTTCGAAAATTGACACGGCGACGGCCTGCTTCAAGGACAATGCTGCGTTCGAAGGACAAATGTGACAAAGAGTGCTACATGCTCTCTGGCTGTCAGCCCTGCCTCTTGGTCAACGTCAGTGGCCAGGTCCGAGGTGTCTTCCTCACACGCTGCGTGCATTTAGGCACCAACGCAGCCCAAATGATGAGGCTGTCTCCCCGTTGACAGGCTGGCAGGCTGTTCTGGAGGCATGTCCTGCATTGCTTCAAGCTTACTCCAACATCAAGAAGGTTCACCTCTATGGAGACCTGGATGGCCAAGCATGCCTCCTTACACTCTCCGGTCGGCGAGGATCCGTCACCGGCGCAGACGTCTACAACCCATTCTTGCGACTTTCTCTCCCTCCAGTTCGCTATCGAAAGAGCTGGTAGCAAGCATAACCATGCTGCGTCAAGCGCCGCATCATCCCCGACCTGATGATCTCCCGTCTCGAATGCACTGAGAACACGGCTTCGAAGATTTGCGATCGGTGGCGGGATGAAAGGGCAAGAAAACGACGCAAGGGTCGTCCCGTCTGCTCTTTGACAGATCCGAGAGTTTACCCGCGAACCCCACCACTCCCGCGCGGACGGATGGACATGGCACCCACGTCAGACCCTGAGGACCCCTACCACTGCCGCCGGGGAATCCGTGACTAAGGTTGAGTTTTCGCACCAGTTCAACATGTGCTCAATACCAGCTGCTCGTAGCTCATTCGGCTCTAGGAAGTTGGGCCACAATCAGGCACACGGAATATACCACCATGACTCGGGTTCGTCGCGAGGAGCAGGGGCCGCCATCTACCAGACAATGCAGGTGTTGCGTGCAGCCAGCTCTTCAGCAGCACGGAGACGAATGCTCCACCGTTTGTTTGATGCCCTCGAGTCTCCCAATCCGAACCCAGCGAGTGGCACCAGACAAACCCGACTTGGACGCAATGCGCGGCACCGCCGTCTTACCAGCACGCCCACGCTGCGGCCGCTGACGTACGTACATGGCTATGGCCCGGCCGGCCGCATCTGCAGGCGTCAGCGTTTCCGGCAAGCTGGTGCTCTCCTTTCTTGGCTTTCTCTCTACTAGTCTCCCTGCTCGCCTCGAACGGCAGCGACCGGAGGTCACCACACCACTTGATCGGGAAACCAATCGATTTATGATGCTGCCACTAACCGCTACTACTGCTGCAACACCTCACGTCTTGGAGGAGAGGGGGGGACGAGCATCGATGTGTGGCTGATTCGCCGAGGGGTCATGCAACCGGCTCGGGGCTAGTAATGTACAAGAATTCGCTACTCGGCCCAAAAGCTGCCCTATGCAAACATCGCCTTACAACCATCGACTCTACGCGAGAACGACTGCCGCGCAATCTACCTTCCTTATGCGATGAGTCTCTCTTTGCTACCCTACTCTTACACAGCCGGTCTCGGCTCGCTCTCCACGCCAACACCAGTCGAAGACCAACCAGCTAAACAATTAATAAAAAAAAAAGAACCATCTAGAGTAGAGATGTGGTATTTGGGGGGGGGGGGGGGTTAGGATGTGTCAGCGTGCCGTGACGTTTTATGCAGGTTCGTCTAATCGTCTTGTGATGAAACCACCCTTGCTCTCTTTCCTTTCGCCAGAACGCCCGTCATCCGCTCTTCGGCTCCCCGCCTCGCCGGTCCCTTCCCACTGACGCGTCTCTCTGCCTTCCCACACTGACACGGAGCCGTCGGTGCGACGGAGGACTCGTCATGAGGAAGACAAGACCGGAGGAGGGGGGACTGATGGAGGTTCAAGGAATGGACGCGCGGGGGTGGACCTCCCGAGATGGCGCGACGTGACCGCGGCGGACAAGCAAAATCACCCAATGTGTAACCGTGTCATTGTGAGACGGAGAAAAGGGGCGAGGAGCCTAGTCGTCGTCCTCGTCGTCGGAGTCGTCCTTCTTCTTCTTCTTGTCCTTCTTCTTCTTGTCGTCCTGCGCCTTCTTCCACTCGCACGTCTTGCACTTGTTGGCGGCCTCGTGGTCGAGCTCGGGGAAAATGAGGTCGAAGACGTCCGAGTACCAGGCGACGGGTTTGCCCTCGATGCCCTCCTTGATGTTCTAAGTAGCGGTGAATGTTAGCATGCAATCTCTCTCTCTCGCGTGACCATGTCCGGGGCGTAAGTGGGGGAAGGCGACGTACCTCTGGGAGCTCCAGCCAGTCGGACATGCAGTCCTTGGGGAAGATGATCATCTTGCAGCCGGCGCGGCGGGCGGCGACCGTCTTCTCGCGCAGGCCGCCGATGCGGAGGACCTTGCCGGTGAGGGTAAGCTCGCCCGTCATGGCAACGGTGGGGTTGACGGGGGTGTCGAGGGCGAGCGAGAGGAGCGAGGTGGCCATGGTGATGCCGGCCGAGGGGCCGTCCTTGGACACGGCGCCGTCGGGCACGTGCAGGTGCAGCTTGGCCTTGTCGAAGAAGTGGTTGTCGGGGAAGTCCTTGACCATGAGCGACTTAGCGAACGAGTAGGCAATCGTTGATGACTCCTTCATGACGTTCTTAAGGTTGCCCGTGATCTCAAGGCCGGGCCGGCTGCTGGGCCGCAGGGGCGCCTGCAGGATCGACTCGACGTACATGGCGGCACCGCCCATCTGGGTCCAGGCGAGACCCATGGCGACACCGGCCGGGTTGACCTCGTAGAGGCGGTCCGAGGTGAAGACCGGGGGGCCGACGTAGTCAACGAGGTTGTCCTTGCCGATGGTGACGTGGACCGTGTCGGGGACCTTGAGGGCAACGCGGGGCTTCTCGGTGGCCGCCGTCTCGGCGGGCTCCTCGCCCGTCTCGCGCACCGCCTCGGTCTTCTTCTCCGACTCGGCCAGCGCCTCCTTGCCGTCCTCCGTCAGGGCATCCTTCTCGGGGAGGACCTCCTCGCCGAGGTCTTGCACGATCTTGAGTGCCGATTTCCGGTACACCTTTTCGATCTGCTTCTTGAGGTTGCGCACGCCGGACTCGCGGGCGTACGACTTGATGAGCTCCTCGATGGCCTCCTCGCTGAGCTTGACATCGGCGTTGGCCAGGCCCGCGGCCTCTCTGGCGGCCGGGGCGAGGTACTTGTCAGCGATGGCCTTCTTCTCGTCGGCGACGTAGCCTGAGAGCTGAATCAGCTCCATGCGGTCGAGAAGGGGTCTCGGGATGGTGTCCGTCATGTTGGCGGTGCAGACGAAGAGGACCTTGGACAGGTCGACGGGGACGTCCATGTAGTGGTCCAGGAATGAGCTGTTCTGCTCGGGGTCAAGCAACTCGAGCAGGGCAGACGAAGGGTCGCCCTGGTAGCCGCGGCCAATCTTGTCGATCTCGTCGATGAGGATCAGCGGGTTTTCCGTCTGGCACTTCTTCAGCGCCTGGATGATGCGACCGGGCAGAGCACCGACATAGGTTCTCCGGTGACCCTTGATCTCAGCCACATCCGTCAGACCACCGACACTGAACCGGTAGTACTGGCGGTTCAGGGCGCGGGCAATGGACTTGCCGATGGACGTCTTTCCGACACCGGGGGGGCCGACGAAGCAGATGATCTTGCCCTCGACGGTGCCACGCAGCTTTCCAACTGCAATGAACTCGAGAATGCGGTCCTTGACGTCCTTCAGTCCGTAGTGATCCTCGTCCAGAACCGTCATGGCATTCTTGATGCCAAAGTTCTCGGCGCTGCGCTGGCCCCAGGGAATCTGCGTCAGCCAGTCGAGGTAGTTCCGCGTGACGTTAAACTCGGACGCTGCGGGCTCGAGGTGTGCAAGCTTGTTGATCTCGTCATCAAACACCTTGCGCACGGCTTCGGGCATCGCCAGCTTGTCCGCCTTCTCCTTGAACCTCTCGACCAGCTTGTCCTTGCCGTCGGACTCGAGGCCCAGTTCACGGCGGATGCCCTTCATCTGCTCCATCAACCAGTACTCGCGCTGACGCTTGGTGATCTTGCTCTCGACGTCCTTGGTGATCTTGGACTGGAGCTGAGCGTTCATGAGCTCCTTCTTCAGGACGATGAGGGCTTTTTGCATTCTCTCCTCGACGTTGAGGCTCGACAGGACTTCTTGGAGCTCGCCCTGCTCGCCCGAAGAGACGGCCGCGGCGAAATCCGCCAGCTTCGCCGGCTCGGAGGTGACGTTGCCAGTGGACTGGCTCATGGAGAAGGTCGAGATCTGGTCGCGGAAAAGACTGTTCATCGTAGCAACCTCCTTGAACACGTTGACGATCTCGTTGGTGACGGCGCGGATGACGGCGCTCTTGGGGTCGTAGGGCTCCTCGGTCAGGTTCTCGACATTGACGAGGCTGACGGGATATCTCTTGAGGAACGCCGTGGGCTCGTACTTCTCCGCCGGCTGGTCGGCCTTGGGAGCCACGGCGCTCTCCTCGAAGCTGGCGACGACGTCGCCCTTCTTCTCCTGCTGCGCCTCCTCATCGGTGGGCTTCGGGGGTATCGGCTCGGGCACGGGCTCGACCTTGGCCTCGCTCGACTTGGCGTCCTCCTTTCCGGGAGGCAGCAGGCTCGACAGGCGGATACGGCGGTGAGGGTACAGGATGGCCGTCAGGGCGCCCTGCTCGCCGTGCATGGGGAAGGCGCTCGTGATCTGTGCAAATACACCGGTATCGTAGACGTCATCGACGTTGCGGATAACATCCTCGTCCTGGTTCTCGTCCTTGAACAAAAAGGCACCGACATACGGCTGACCCCTCTTGATCATCTCGGTGATGGCGGCGGCGACGTTGGGGTCCTTGATGGTGATGGCCTTGTAGAAACCGGGAAACAGCGGCCGCTTCGCAATTGGGATGGCCAGGACCTGGGGGTAGACGTCGGGCACGACGGGCTTCTGCAGGCTCTTGTCAGATGCTCTGCGCCCGCGTCTGCCGCTGCCGTCGCCCTTATCGTCACCGCCTCCGGATCCCGCTGACGAGCCGCCGGCCGCACTGCCAGCCTTGCCATCCTGTGCAGCTCCGGACCCCTCGCTCTTGGCGGATGAGTCGGAGGTCGAGCTCTTGGCCTCGGCCAGCTCCTTCTCCTCGAGCTCGCGCTGATTCTTGATGTTTGCCTTGTGTTCCTCGTCGGAGAGAGGCTCAACCTTGGGGTCGAAGAAGCTGTTGTTGTCCTCCTCCTTCAGCCATCGTGTTGACGTCGAGAACGGGGCGACTGCTCGCTGGCTCCGGGGGGCGAGGAATAGGCGGTCGAAGGTGGAGGCGGAGGACCTCGGGGTGCTCGCGGCGGGTAACCTGCTACTCGAGACCGAGTAGGGCCGTCTGAGGTAGTTTGACGGGCGGCCAAGGGTCAGGCGCCTCGGGAAGCTCGATCGCATCACCATGCTGCCGGCGATGGGAGTTGCGAGTCAACGTTGAGGAAGCTCCGGTCGCGGCACGTGGTGACGATGATGATCGGGTAATACAGGGCCGAAGGCGAAATGGGGCGTATGCCGCTGTAATGCTCGATGCAGTTGGATGTGGGTAGAAAACAGATGTCGACAAAAGAGACGAGATACAACGGGCAATTGAAACGTGCAGATGGTTTTAATTGTGCAGAAGGGGAAGAGGACTCAGAGTCCTAGATCGCGATGCGCATCGCCTCCTGACGCCTTACAAATACAGAGCAGAGGTGAGCAGAGTAACCTTTTAGCTATTATGGAGACCGTCGGGGGGGGGGGGACTAAGAGTAAACGACATCACCAAAAAAATCAATGAGCACTGACGTTTGCCGCTCTTGCCTGGCACTCGGCCAGTGGCCATTCAGCACGCAGTGGGGGCCGAGGGTGCCTCTGGAATCTGGAAGAACTTCGGCCCCGGTTGCCGGCGGGGCGGTTTGTCAGGACGCCCCCCCCCCCCACAGCGTGGCTGGCCAGCTCACGGCTGGAGCATGCAGAGACGCACCTGGCTGCAGTGACCGGCTGCCGCAGCTAACAGCGCCTTGAGCTGGTGAGAGAGGGGCGGCCATCGACCGCCAGTTTTGGCAAGTCGCACTGTACAAGCACGCCGAGACTCGCGATGTGCTCTACTGTGCCAAATCTCGCCCAGACAGCGCGCCACCATGCTCCGGCCGTCCGCTAGACCTCTCTGCCAACCAACTGCCCTGCCAGCAACAGTGCCGTCCGGTAGGTATCTCTGACTCGGTTGCGTTGCGGGGAAGGCGGGAAACCAAACACCCCACATTTGGAAGAGGGATCGAAGAACAGTGCCGTCCCGCCATCCCGTCTAACACAGTCCGTTCGCGCAGCTGAAAGAAGCCGAGGCCTTTTTCCAAATCCCATCCAGCCTGCTCAGGAGCCTCCTTTCCCCCCTTTTCCACTCCTTCTACTCGTCTTGACATACAGGGCGCTCTATATCTGGCCAGAGGCTGCTCCGAACGGCCATCCAACTCGGTCTTTTTTCCATACACCCCGCGGCTCAACTCGCATCGGGCTGCAAGCTGCATCTTGACCTTGCTAGTGCCTCACCCTGTTGATCCTGCATCGAGGAACCGCCTCAAAGGACCCTGTCCCTCCATCCTCTGTTGATCTACCTTCCCTGCTTCCCGGGGCCATACCCACACTTTTCCCTCGCTTCCCGACGGAACCGCAATCCGGTTTCCTGACCATCTCATCTTCTTGGGTCTCTCTCTCAAGTAAAACCCTGTCGTCTCTCTCCTGAGCATCTCACATACGCGTCCTCGAATTTGCCCTTTCGATATACACGCACAGACACACATATACACATACACATACACATATACGCACTCAAAACAAGCCACCATGCCCTCCAGCCAAAAGTCGGACGTTACGTCCTCCCTCTCCAAGCTCTCAATAGACAGCACCAAGAAGACCCCCGCCGCCAAAAAGATCAAGGAGCCGGTAGCAGACTCGTGGGAAGACGAGGACGTGGACGACGACGACGAAGAAGAAGAAGAAGAGCAGGGGGGTGCGCCGAAGCCCCAGAACGACGGCTCCCAGGCCCCGCCGCCGACCCCCAGCTCCCCGTCGTACAGCACGGCGGACCGGTCCTTCCCTCCGTACGGAGTCTCGGACACGGCCGCCCCCGCCACCCCGGCCGCCGGCAGTACCAGCGGCGTCCGCAGGCCGGAAAAGACGGACGCCGTGGCCCGGCGCATGATTGCCAGCGCCCTCGGCGTCAAGGTGCCCCGCATGACGGAGGAGCAGCGGGCCTACGACAGGGCCGTCAAGGAGAAGGAGCGCAAGCGCCGGGAGGAGGAGAAGGCCGCCGAGAAGAGGCGGCTGGAGGAGGCCGAGAAGGCAAAGGCCGCCATCTGGGAGGACTAGAGCGCTCTCCGTCTCTTCTGTGCGTGTTCGCCACGGGGGGTTAGGGGGGGAGGGTTGGTTCTGGGAAACTCGGGTGGGGGGAGCAAAGACGGAATGGTCGAGGTCGGTATAGATCGAGACGTGGGACGGCTCTGCTTGTAAATATGTATGCAAAGGGGTGGTGGCCGCCCCCGTCTCTTCATGGGGGGAGGACGACGGCTGCTGGCTTGCGATTCTGTACGTACTTGTGCCGTCCGTCACGAAAGGGAAACTAGGACAAATGAAACGAAATGAATGATTTGTAAACGAAACAAGCAGCTTGTCACCGAGGCCCTCCCCCCCCAACCCACCTCGCGAGTTGGCCGCCCGTGTCTGCAGAGAGAAAGGGGTTTCGACGGGCCGCGGCCTATCACGCCCTCCCACAAGCTCGCGCGGCGCACGTCTCTACGAAATCCTGCCTCGGATGGATATGCGGTACACTTCGAGCTCACGCATGGAGCGGCAATACGCTCAACACGTCGGCACTCCCACCATGCACGATGGCCAGCGCGCAAGAACATGGCCAGGGGGTAACTTGAAGCATCGTCTCACAAACAACGCCACCGTCCACGCACATCCCAGGGACACGTGATTTCAATTTCGACCATATTCTTTCTCGTCCGGTCCGGTCCGTCGTATCCCATCCCGTCTCGAGGGTCGAAAGAAGAAGAAAAAAGGTACATCAACACCCAACCCAGAGATCCCTAAACCAAACCCCAACGGCCGTAAACGGACTTGTGTCTCGTCTCTCCTCCCCCCCCTCTCCGTACGTCGTGACGTGTTTATATATGTATGTGATTAAAGCTACAAGCAAGAAGACAAAATCCCCAAAGGGGGAAAGGGGCGGGAGGAGTCCCGTCTGACACCGGCGACGAGGCCATACCGTTGGCCTTACCTAGTGTCCGGCCGCGCCCCATCCCGCTCTCCTTCCCCCGTTTTCCTCTAAGATGCAGCTCATACCCAGATCCACGAATGCTTCGCTATGCTGTTTTTGTGTTGTGCTGTGCTCTGCTCCGCCGTGTCGTTGTGTCCTGTTCTCCGCCAAAGTATTACATCGCCGTCCCACCAGGGCTACGCTTGGTGCTTTCTAAACATCTCATGCTCTTCAATGGTCGCTGCCCCAGGCCTTGGCCGCTTCGGCCGCCGCCTCGGCAGCTGCCGCCGTGGCTCTTGACTCCTTATCATCAGTGTCATCGTCGTCGCTCTCATGTTCTGGCTGCTGGGCCTTGGTGGTGGTGGTGCTGCTGCTGGTAGCGGCGGCGGGGGTAACAACGGTGGCGGCCGGAGCAGTCGTGTGTTCCTCCTCCTCGTCGGCGTCAGGGGCCACCGGTCTGATGGTCATATTCTCTCCCCCGTTCAACCGGCCACCACTTCCCCCGGCGGCCGTCGCCGTTGTCGGCGTCGTCGCATCCGCCGCGGCGGAAGGACCCTCCTTGGACTGCGGCCGACGGTCTGCCACGGGGCTCGCGGACGTCTCCGACTCCACGGTACCTGCGGAGAAGACCGATTCCGTATACGAGCCCTGTGTAAGCGGCTGGAAATCGTGCCTGTCGCTGGACTGCTTCTGGTTGATCTCCACACCTGCGGAGGACGTGGAGACCCGCGAGCCGGACACCGAGGCCGAGTCCTTCTCGCTGGTGCCAGTCTTATTGACATCCGTCTTGGACTTGCCCCATCCGCGGCCCCATCCGTATCCTCCGCCACTGCTGGTCGCGGTGGGGGAACTGCTGCCACTGGCGCTGCCGCCGCCGCCCCATCCGGCCTTGCGCTTCTCGCCCGCCCATGTAACCCACGAGCTGACGTATGAGGTGGCCTTGTTTCCGGAGGCATTGCTCTGCGACTTGGCCGCGTCCCCGGCCCCACCCGGCGACGTCGTGGATGCAGCAGCAGACCCGCCGGCCTTCTCAGCCTGGGCGGCAGCGGCCTCGGCCGCGATGCGCTGTTCCTCAGCCCGCTTCTTCTGCGCCTCGCGGAAGGCCTCCATGTCGGCGTAGAACTTGTTGAACATGTTGGACGCCTTTTCTTTGCCGACAGCAAAGTTCCGTCCAAGAACCTCCTTGCCAACGGCAAGACGCTCGTCGAGGTGCATATCCTGCACCTGTTGGGCGATACGGCGCTGGACGTCGTCGATGGTAAGGCCACCGGCACAAGGGTGCCGCGGCTCGACGACGTCGAAGAGGTGCGAGTCCGTGTTCGCGTTCCAGATGCGGTGGTTCTCGGTGCGGGACCACGATTCGATAAAGTCGCTGCCGTAGTCGAGGGACGGGTCACCCTCGATGTGCGGGAGGAGAGCGCGGGGGTTGTTTGGGTTCGCGAGAAGGTGGTTGTGGTACTTGACAGAGGATACGAGGGAGAGGATGTACTCCTCGAACTGGAGGCGGATGAACTCCTCGCTGCCGACGTAGCCCATGGTGTTGGGCCGTTGGGGATTAGCGTCGTCCCACGTGTCGTTGACGACTTGGGTGATGTAGTCGATCCACCGACGGTCGGCGGCCGAGAGGGCCAGAGCACTTCTGAGGGAGGACGAGGTGACGTTGACGGTGTGCTCGTCCAGATTAATCAGAATGTCGCTGTAGCGGTCCTTTTGTTGCAAGAGTAGTGAATTTGTGCTGCCGACAATGTACGACTTGGTGCCAAAGTCGGCGAGGATGTCAAGCTGCTGGAGGGGGGTATATGGCCCGAACAAACTGCCCTATGTGCATCGTTAGTGCCTTACATCCTCCAAACGAGTCGTGGCGGACATACCTTGCCGAATATCTGGAGAGGGAGGCCCATGTAAGTGAGCAGGGAGTTACGATCACTGGTCCGCAGGCTCGTGGGCCGCGCCAGCTTCTTCTCGTAGTTGTTCAGCTCCGGGTCGGCGCAGTCGATGAGATTACGAATTAGGCCGGGTATCAGAGAAATGAGGGAAAACTGCATCATGCATAACCGTTCACACCGTGATCCGAAGAAGAGCATCTATGAGGGGTCTTGTTAGCTCCCGACGGCACCAAAACTGTCAGATATGACCTGTAGAGGCTGGACGCACCTTTGGTTGCAGCAGACAGCACTTGAACAGCACCAGTGTCTGCCACTTGAACTCGTGGACCAGCTCCCGCAAGCTCATGCCGAGGTACTGGTCGCGGCTCTCCTCCTCGGTGAGGAAGCCGCGCTCCTTCTCTTCGGCGAGGCTCTCCTGGAAGCGGCGCAGGATCTCCGTGTCGGTGAACTCGCGCTGGGCGAACCAGGCCTGGGTGACGACGCTGAGGCGCTCACGCATCATGCCAAAGTGCTGCGGCGTGTCGGCGATGACGACGACGGCCTTCTGGACCGTCGAGCGCGTCACCTCGGCGGGGCGGTTCAGGAGCTGCGAAGCGTCGAGCTGCCGCGTGCACGAGATGCCGAACAGGGACGTTGCGGGCCCCGTAGCGGTGGCGGGGCGGAGGAGGGTGAAGTAGGAGAAGTCCTCGCTTGATCTGTTCCCAGTCTGTGAGCTGTTCGTCCTCTGCATCGCAGCGAGCATGCCCCATTGTCGCCCAAGTCACCAAGGGCCGGTTGTTACTCACAGATGCGCGCCGTCACTCAGCGCCATGAACGGCAGCAGTCCCCAGTCATACTCGACCGCCGGGTCGGTGCCCTCTGCGGCGCCGAACCACCATTCAACTTCGGGCCCGCGGGCATGGTGAAAGTCGACGACCGTTACCAACGGTACAAAGCCGGGCTTGGCCGGCGTCGACGGCACCGTCAGGGGCGTAGCGGCGCCTGACGTGGGCGTCGCAACCTCGGGGGTGTCCATGTTTCCCTCCTCGTCCTCGGTGCTTCTTTCTTGGGGGTCGTTCCTTGTCACCCACGATGCAGCATGCGCCTAGTCCACTAGCGTCCGTACGTCTTCAAGATGGCGGGTTCCTTTGCAAACCGTCCAGTCGTCCACTGGTTTTCTCAGGTTGTATTCGCTTTTTTTCAGCTTCCTTGGCGCAACGAGGCCCACCTCTACGACATTGCCATGTATGCCTTTGTCGTCGGTTATTTTTCTCGCTTCGGCTGCCCCTTCGGCTCCGTCACACGTTTCGTCGCAAATTCCCGCCGACGTGGGTCACGGGTTTTCCTTGTCGTTCGTCGATTACTGGAAGCCTCGCAGACGTAGAGATGTTCCCCCTAGAGTTCGGGCGGGCGACGGTCGATCCCCTTGAGGAATTTCCCCCAAAAAGTTGAGGGAGGGGTTCTGGCGTGTTCTGACGTAGTATCGACTTCCCGTCCACTGAGGAGAGGGGGGGTAACTTGTGAGACAAGACCGCTGGGTGCGGATGGGTATCCAAGAGGAATTGGCGGTTTGAAAGGTCCTGGCAGTCGAGACCTCTGACCGGTGAATTAAATAGGAAGCGTTCTGCCCGTCAGGTTCCGTACGGCGCTGAGCTTCGTCCTTGTCGAGTTGGGGGTTGGCGGGTTTCCCTCGGCTGTGGCAAGCGAAGGCTCACAGGAAAGAAAGCGGTGACGGCTCGGCTTGTCCTCTTCCAAGCGCGTGGGCGCGCACGCGAAAAAAAAGGTGTGTGAGAGTGAGCTGTAAATACCGGGTTGCACCGCTGCCGGGCAAAGAGTCGAGTTCGGGTCGGTGATTCGTCCGCTGCCTCGGTGCTGTGTTGGCGAATTAGGGAAGAGGTAGTGGTAGCTCTAATAGTGAGCGGTCGAGGTGTGTAACGTCGATACGAAGGGTCGAATGGTTGAATGGTCGAATGGGGGAGCCAAGGTTCAACACCGAGAGAACAATTCGCCGTCTCCTGAGGAAGGAAAAAGACCTGGCGGAGAGGCACGAAGCGAAGGGGGACGGATGAGGACGAGAAGGAGGAGGGGGAGAGAGAACCTTGGAGCTCGGATGCCCGCGGTGGGTTCGTGGTAGGCTTTGTATTGGACTGGATGCTCTCCGATGCTCAAATGAGCTGGGTTCGGGGAGTGGGTTGTGGATGAGTTGTTGAATTAGTGCTAATGCACTACGGCGAAAAGGTAAGGCAATACTCTAATGCTACTCCCACTCTTATTTCACCTCGCAATCTCTTGTTACTTTATTTCCCGCTTGCATCGTGCTTTGGACACTTCCATGCGCGCCCCCGCCCCTCCTTCTTTGAAATAGGGCCAAGCATGTCCATGCAATGCTTGGGACAGGTCTAATAAAAAAACGAACGACTCGTCCCGTCCCACATTGAAAGCGCGCGCAGGAGACAGGTTCAGGGATTCGAGGGTTCCCAGCGTTCGAGAACACGACCGAAAAAATAGAAGAAGAAAAGTGATTGACGAGCCCCCCCCCCCCCCCATGCACCCCGCGCGCGCAGTGGTTTAAAATGAGACCAAGCCGCACGCACTCTCTCTCAAGCACTAAAAACGGACACGTTCTTGTCACTGTCTACCGCAGGGCCGCGAGGGGCGGATGCGTTACACAAGGCCGGACATCACGTGTGGTGAGACCAGCTCAGGGTCGCCCCTTGACGCCGGTTTGCCGCTGCTACCTACCTATAATAAATCAAAGTCTTGGGGAGAGGGATTCGAGAATTCAGACCCGGGGATGTCCTGGGCCATCCTCCCACGAATCCACGGCGAGGCCGGCCCAGGAAAAGCAAGTTGAGTTCTCGCAGTGATCATTTGTTCCATTGCAAATAGCCTCATCGCGCTTGTAAACAAAGAGAACCTCGGTGAGCGTAAGCTAACATCCGGACTGAAACCGCTGAACCACCTCCCCCTTACCGCCCAAACGGCTCCTTCACGTCCCCCCGCCAGCCAGCCCGGCGCCAAGCCGACCGGCCCCAAAGGTCTGTGATGCAATGCCACCGTCCGTCCGTCCACCACCCCCAGAGGGGAGACACGTCAACCATGCACGACGGGGGGAGCACCGACCACGTCCGTCCGTCGCCGACGAATCCAACAGAGGCTCGCCAACTTTACTCGACGGGTTGGCCATTCCGCTGCTTTCCTCCTGATATCGCGCTCTCCTCGGGAATCACATCCAACCTCATGGCCGCCACTTCTCGGATCCCTTCCCCCCCTCCAAAAAAATGAAAAACCTTGAGAAATGTTGCCATCATTCGCCGACCCGGTAACGAACACGAGAAACTCCCTCTCGGCCATCCCCTCCGGAGTGAGCTCCTACCATCACGTTAGCGCGCGGGCAAACGCATTCAGCACACAAACGAAGCCGCAGAGGCGAACGCACCACGTCAATCTCACCCTCTTCGCCCCGGCCTCACCTCACATCACCTCGCCTGGGATGGGTACTCCTCTCGTCTCCCCTCATCTGCGTCAACTCACCCCCCACCTCCCGTCCCGTGCCGTTCCTCCTCCCAATCCTCTCCGTCTCACCACCACCACTACCACCACCATCCCCACGTCACCTCATCGTGATACCGCCAACCACACCGACACCGACCTCCCTCGCTGTCCCTTCCCGTCCCATTGGAGGTTGTCTGTAACTTCCGCTATGCCTCTGCAAGCGATCCGAACACATGCAGCCTTCTACAACACCGTCCTGTAGATCCTGACCCCATGGTTAACCGGCGGATCCGACAAGCCCGCAATGGATTGCACGTAACCATCCGTGGCAGCTACGTACATGGTCGAGGCGGTCTGCGAGGCACATGCCGTGCGACTGAATCAGCCCGCCCCCCCGTACCTACGCCGATCGACAGAGGCTCTCTTGAGCCTTCTTTTCACTCCGAGGCTGATAGTCAAGCCGTCGGGATCATCATCTCGTCATTGTTGGATAGATGCGTGTTTTCACGATTTCTATTCTGTTTTTTATTTTAAAGTTGTTCTTGTTATTCTCTGCTGCTGTGTCTTCCGCCATTATCCCAGAACCCCAACCCAAGCTTCTCTTCGCCCCTTCGTCAGTTCGTGATGGCGTACAACCTCCAGAGTACGCCCTATGCACAATCGTGTTTGGTATGCAGTTTCTCGAGACAGGGGCCTGAAAGCCCGTACTCAGCTTCGACACCATCCTCGTGCCGCGTGAGCTTGATTCCAACACAGCTGGAGATCCAGAGAGAAACAGAAAGAAATTTCGTTGAAACAGGATGGTAGTAAATAAAAAAAAAGAGAAAAACACCTCCGATATGCATGCCATTCCTTTATATCGCGTATACTGTTGGCCCTTTGCATAGTCAACGTTACAATAAACGATCCCGTCTTCCGAACACCATGTCAAGTTTGTGAATGTACTGGAAACACGTCCCGTCTGGTTTTGCGTGGTATCATAGCCTCCTCTCTCCTATTTATCCTCGCTTCGCCCCTAGCGCGTTGGTCTATTGCCCGTTGAACTGCTCTTCCATTTGCTGCGCTGACGCATCAACGTTGTGGTAGTCGAGGATCTCCGAGTACCTGTACACAAGGTTCGTTAGCACTGGTTGCAGAAAGCGAGGTTGCAGAGGTCAACATACATCATGATCTTCCATGTGTCCACGGGCAGATCAGCGTCGTTAAAGCTCCAGTCAAACTTCTCCTCGGCGACGGGCTCGTCAGTGGGGTCGTGGTAAGGGGCAAGGTAGTCGTGGGACAGCGCCTCGGTGGCCGTTATCCGCTTCTTGGGGTCGAAGACCAACATCCTCTCCAGCAGGTCAATGGCGGAGGGGTCGGCGTTCTTGAATTTGTTCTTCAGAGGTTGTCTCTCGCGCTTGGGGAGGGACTTGACGAATCGGAGGGTCTAGTCAACAGTCAGTGACGGGTTCCACGGGTGCACCTCATGATTCGCGACTCACGTTTTCGCTGGCAATGCCGTTAATGACATCATCGGGAGGAGTGCCCAGCAGCTCGGTAATGATGGAGAACTGGTTGACGTGATCCTTGCCGGGGAACAAAGGCTTGCCCTCGAGCATCTCGGCGAAAATGCAGCCCGCACTCCAGATATCGACCTCGACGTCGTACTTTTGCCACGTGAGCATGATCTCGGGGGCACGGTAGTATCTCGTCGAGACGTAACCAGTCATCTGGGGGTCCTGGATACGGGCGAGACCGAAGTCGCAAATCTTCAAATCGCAGTTCTCGTTGACAAGAATGTTGCTGGGCTTCAGGTCACGGTGGACCACGCCGGCTGAGTGGACGTATTTCAAACCGCGCTGCAACTGTGTCAGTTTGATATTCGGAGTGCACTCCGGAAAAGTGTGGTTGCGATGCATACCATGATCTGATAAAGGAAATACTGGATGAACTGCTTCTCCAGAGGCCTGGAGGTGAGCAGTCTATGCAAATCGGTGCCGAGGAGCTCCGTGACGAAGTAAATGTCCTCGAGGGGAGAGATGAAGATATCACTGAGAGAGATGACCTGTGGCGGGCGTCAGCGCATCATTCGACAGATATGCCGAGAAGCAGTCAGCGACGGGGACACGTACGTTCTCGTGTCTCAAGTGCTTGAGCAGCTTGAGTTCACGGTATGTCCGCTTGGCGAGGACAGGTGTGCTGAAGGGCTTCATGATCTTCTTGACGGCGACGTTCTGGTTTGTGAGCTGGTCACGGGCGGAGCTGGCAGCGGGAAAGCGCGTCAGCAAATGGAAACGGAACTGCTCGCGACGAGGGACGCCACGAGAGATGCTCTCTTCTCAGACTAACCAAACGAGACCGAAGGCGCCCATGCCGACGGGCTGCAAGTCCGAGTACCTCGAGGTGATCTCAAAGGTGGTACCGAAAATTTGTGCTCTGATGAATTCGGCCATTTTGTGCGGTGGTCGATCTACCTGATCGAGAAGGATTGGGTTCTGAAGTGTTGAAAGGTTGAGGGAGGCCGATCGGTGAAGCAAGACGATGGAAACTGGTCGTCTGGCGTGGGGGATTGCAGAGAGATGAGGGGTGGTGGAGCAGCAAAAAGACGGCTGTCGGGAGACGGACCAGTCAAATCAATGCTCGTAAGAGTATGTTTTGTTTGCTGCGGATGAGGAAGAATGGCAGAAAACGATCAACTCGAAAATGGATGAGTTGAGGGAATTCGAAGAAGAGGGTTTTGCGAATGAGGCCTAGATGTGGATGAATGGATGGCAACGGGAGTTGGCTGGATTTGAAAGAGATGCAGCGACGGCGGGGAAGCGAGCTCAAGGATTTGTTTCGCTAGAGGGGTGGCTGTTCGGCGGGGCGTCCTGTCCTGTGGAAGGTGGACGTGGACGGAGGGAGAAACGGAGGTCGCGGTCGTGGAAGAGCGCGGCGGGGTAAACGAGAAGTGGCAGCGAGTGAGAACGCACGTCTGTCTCTGTGCCTCGATTCTTGTGTGGTGGTGGTGGTTCTGGGCTTTCTGGGATTCCGAAGCAACCTGAGCAATGTGGCAACGGCATTAGCGAGCCTTTTCTAGGCAAGGAAGCAAGCAGTAGAGAGATGAACTGTGAGCGGCAGCGGATGCAGCTAGGGGGCGGCAGCAATAGCGGAACAAGAATCTGGTTTTTTTTGCCCGCCCTTTTTTCCCTGCTGTCCTCGATTGTCTCCCGGTGACGTTTATGTTTTACCCCTTCCGTTTTTTTTTACCCATTTTGCATAGTCGACTTTTTGCACTACCAAGGGTACCCTATTCATAATTGACCATACCGTGGAGGGCCGCATTACAAGATGGGGCTTGTCGGGGGAGAATGTGACGGCAGCAAGGGTAGGCGGACACCAATGACATGCAAGTCTCGAGCAACAAGCAGTAAATCGCTTACCTCAACAAGTTCCAAACGGTCGGCGTCTGGATGGGAGGGAGTATCTCGACGATGCTCTTTTTGCCCAAGTCCTTTCCAAGGCTTGTTCGTTCCTGTTCTCTTCCTGAACTGAGGGTTTTCAGTCCTCCTGGTTCCCGGGCTCGAGTCCGGGCGTGAAAAGCTCAAACCAAAAGGTGGCCGTAGTGTGTGTGTGGTAGGCGGGCGAGTAGCGGGCGCACGTGGGGAATGCAGGTAACAAATCCGCACGAATGTCGATCAGTCGTTGTCGTCCTCTCTTCTTGTTCGCTGTCGCGGTGTGAAGCTGAGGTAGAGAGGTGGGGATCTGCACAACAGCACTTGTCGACGGCTTGCAGGAGGCGAAAAGGAGCTGGAGGAGGGAAGACGAGAAGTGTTGCTTGCTGTTTGGTCTCTGCGATTCGCTCGTGTGGGGGTGGGATGCGACGGGGACCTGTTGCGGTTCGTTCTCCTAGATACGTAACCCTTGGGTTCCTTTTACAACACTGCAAGACCGAAGGATACAGGTAAGTGCGCGGGGGAGAGGATGAGTATGCTGATGTTTATGAATAAATGGGAAAAGGGTGGGAGATCGAGCAAGAAGCAGGGCGGAAGGGGAACAAGCGGCCACCCAGCTCGGAGGGGGAAAGTACTTTTTAATTGTTCCAGAAAGGGCTGCGCCTGGGAATACCTCAGCGGAGCAAGAGGGGGGGAAGAGGCAGAGAGGGGAGAGGGGTGAATCCAAGCAAAGGATACGGAGAGAGAGAGAGAGGGGGAGAGAGAGAGGAAGAGAGACACGCTGGCTTGGGTGAGAGTGAGCGTGGGAGCGACACAGTCGAGCTTGCGTTGAAGCGTGGGACAGAGTATGAAGCTGCTGCCCCGCTCCCGGCTTGTTCAGGAGCGAGCCGGGGGGGTGCTGCTGGGCGAGGGTGCTTGGATGCTGGCGGGGAGGGGTGTGTGTGCGTGTGTGTGAGTGCAGTGTATTTGTCTCTCCCACTCTCTCCGGTGGGAAAGCTGGCGGGAACGGTGGCCTGCCCAAGACGGCCACAGTTAACGAAAAAGGTACGGATATGGTCAGGTAAGCAGACTGCGGCGGCTCTGACTGGACGGACCAGCCAACGGTAAACTGGAAACCGTCAGCTGCGAATCCAAAACCATCCACACAGGCGCTGCTGCGGCTATCTACGGTACCTGCTTTCTACTACTGTTCACATATGCACCGAGCAGACAGGGCAAGAAATCAATGCAAAACCTGGAGTGAGATGGGACGAGAGCCATGGAGCAGAAGATCCGCCTGGCCTGGGGCTGGCGGCTCGAGTCGAGAAACAAACCATAACTCTGCATCCGAGGTATTTCGGCCAGACTAAGAAACAGATGAGGCTGAACTTCCAAGTGTCTGAAGTTGCGCGTTAGTGTTTCTCCCCGCGAACCTCGGCCTGCCTTGATTGGCGTTGGTGTTCGGTGTCGTTAGGGAGAGGGAGAGGGAGAGAGGAAATAACATGAGATGGTGACAAGACGGCGAGATATCTCAAATGACCGAGAGACACCAGCCAACGACCGACGTGCCGCGAAGCGGGCATATGGAATGGCCTGAGCATCAGCGGCACCGCGGCGTATCTCAGTCCAGCTCACCACGGCCCGAGCTGGGGAATTCTTCTCTTTCCATAATGCCATGCCCGCCCAGCTTTGGATTCGGATCCGCATCAACCGGATGGGACAAACGAGGGAGTCGACTGGCACGAACAGTCCCCCCCCCCTCCCAAGGTGGGCTGGATGTTTCCGGGCTCGTCGCATCGCCGCCGGCAGGCAGCCGTCGCGATGAATCGACGCAATCGTGCGAATCAGAAACCAAAAGACACGATGGAAAGCAGCGCCACTAACGAGAAAACATGGAGTTTTGCGTCTTCTGGATCCTCTGGGCCATCGGACATTCGATCGAAATCGACGATGACGGCCCTGCCACCGTGGCAGCACCGCTTGGCTCGCGGGAAAACCGGTCTAATCCCTTTTTCTCTCATTCTTTTGCCCATCCCACACACGCGCATCCTTTCCTTTCCTGTTGGTGATACACAGACCGCCGCCTGCGTCGTCGTCGTCGCCCGCTCGATCGGGCAATATTTCGCTCATCACTCTGGCCGGGTCTCTTTTTTTTTTTAATCTATCACAAATGCCATGTTTTGCTTGAGGCGCATTTCCCCCGTTTCCCCGTTTGCCGTTTGTCCATTCCCAAATGAACCCTGTCTCGTGCCTGACCATCCCATCTCACCTTTCCAGCCTCACCTCACGAGACGAGACGGTGAGCCTCTTGGGAGCTTGGCTTAAATTTTTACGGTGTGGCTACCTGCACACCCCTTCCTCTCTCCCCCCCCCTCCGGCCTCCGGCTCCAAGGTTGTCCCCTTGCACCACCACGGCCGATCAACCCTCTCTTCCCAGCATCATGGATTCAGGACACCGCACCTTCTTCGCACAGCTTGAACTTCACTCCGAGTCTCGTCGCGTTCACTCGCAGCCTCGGGTGCGTACCTCTGTACCTACCACACATCCAATTCCCCATGGCGTCGCAGATCCAGATTTGCCATCCGGTGCGGCATCTCCGGTCGTGCCTGTGCATCGTGCATGTCCTATATAATCAACCTCGCATAACCGTCCTCGAGCATCGACCGTCCTAGCAACCTCCCGCCTCTCACCGTTGTTGGCTGCCTGGATTCGAACCCGGCGCTTCTCTGCTCTTTCGCGCCATGCCGCCGCCGCCGCCGCCGCCGCGCAATTGAGTCCCACGGCTCGCCTTCGTCCTCCAGTCCAGGTGGCATGGGGAACCAGATGCGAAGGGGGGGAAGTTACCGTGCCACGAAACCCACCTCGGCCTCTGACGTCATAATGAGATCGCATCGAGATGGTGCATGGGATTGAGAACTCTGCTGTGTCGTGTCGCGTTGACGGGCCCGCACTGAGGGGGGGCGTGTGTCCCGTCCCGCTACCTTAGCCGCCCCTGCTGGCCTTGGGCTCTTGTCAAGTTTAGCGTGTAATAAGGTACCAGCGGCTCACTGTCCGAGCTGTTCTATCCATTAGCGCCCCGAAACGTCGAGCGAACCCAACGGTACTAACACCCTCCCCGTACCGTCTCTGCCGTTCCCCGCAGTGCCGCTACCTTGCTGGCGGTAACGTCCCCCGATCGCTGGTCCAGACCCTCCCCGTCCTCTCCCTTGCCGAACATCGCCATCGCAGGTGAGGATCGAGAAGTGAGAAAACGGTGCCCCATCGCACACACCCTCCAGCATGGATGGCGTTTACCGCCGCACGGCGGCACCATTTCCACCCCCTCCATCTCCCCTTCCCAGGTGCCCAGAATTCCCGTCACGGGGCTGCGTCGAGCACCACAACAGCCGCAGGTTCTAGACTGGCCTGAACGTGTCCGACCCAGCGCGTTACCTGCTGTAGCTGGGCATATGTCCGCGCCGCATTAACGGGGCGCCACAGAGGGAGAGCGAAACGGAACGGGTCTCATTTGACAGGACGGTCCCCCCCGAGGAATGGGCAATATCTGCACACAAAGTAAGGCAATGCTAATGCTGGAGCTAGAGCCGCCCAGCTGACCCGACCAAAAACTCCCTAAGGGGGGCCGCTTCTGGCTCCAACGGAAACCGCCTATGCCCTTTTCGACTTTGCCGTCTCTTCATAGGGGAATCTCGATTCGACCGACCACCGGCACGTCAGAGCTGCTGATCGTCGCCCGAGAAGCCTCCCAACTCTAGAACAGGTTTTTCCTTTCTAACGCTGGCGGCAACTCTGCAACAAGTCATGTAATCCTCGGGTCTCGTCTGGCCGTTCCGGCAAGGGCAGAAGAGACAATGGAATGCCCCCCCTCCCCTTTCCCCATGGCGACATGCCGCGCTGCTGTTCCGCCATCAAGGGCTCCGGCAGCGTCGTGCCAAGCGGCTTGCGAAAAAATCGAGGGGGGAAAAAAACCAAGTCGGAGTGTGGGACCACGTCAAAGCCAAAACGAACTTACATGACGATTACCTTCAAGGCCCGTCAT